ACAAAATCAGAAAATCTCCGGCCTCATACCTCTTCACAAATACGCAGTGGTCAGCTTCTGTCTTTTCAAACTTATGATCAGTCATGAATGATTCAAACTTCTTGTACCACTGCCGAGGTGCTTGCTTCAAGCCATATAGACTCTTATTCAACCGACATACCAAGTCTTCTTGGTTTGGAGCTTGGAATCCTTCAGGTTGCTCCATATATATTTCTTCTTCTAAATCACCGTGAAGAAATGTCGTCTTCACGTCCATTTGTTCTACCTCAAGGTCCATCGAAACCGCCATGGCTAACATGGTTCGGACCGAGGTCATTTTCACCACAGGAGAAAAAATCTCCTCAAAGTCTACTCATTTCTTCTGATTGCAGCCTTTCACTATAATCTGGGCTTTGTATCTCGGCTTTTGTCCGTTCTCTTTATTCTTAATCTTGTAGACCCATTTATTTTTCAAAACTCGTCTTCCTTTAGGCAACTCAGTCAGCTCATAAGTCTGATTCTCGTGCAGAGACTTCATCTCGTCTTGCATTGCCTTTTTCCATTCTTCTTTCTCTGAGCTCATCACAACCTCATCATAACTCTGAGGCTCACCGTCTTCAGCAACAACGGTGTATTCATCAGATGGGTATCTTGTAGAGGGTCTTCTTTCTCGAGTTGGATATCTCGATTGTTCTTCAGCATGAGAACTCGATTCATCATTCTCATCCCGGATCTCATCATCAACTCGGACCTCAGTGTCTTGGTCATCTTCAGCTTGTTGCTAATCATCAATTCCTTCATTCTCTTGATTTTCTCCTCCTGCTTCAGCTCGGACAGGAGGGATGGGTTCATCTCGTCTGACACTAACTCGGACTTTGGGCTTCGAGATGTCATGAATGTTCTCACCTTCATGAAAGATCACATCTCGACTTCTCACTATCTTCTTATTGATTGGATCCCAAAGTCAGAACCCGAACTCACATCTCGGCGAACCAAGATAGATGCATTCTTTTGTCTTCGCATCAAGTTTTGCCCTTTCATCTTTAGGGATATGCACGAAAGCTCGGCATCCAAAAACCTTCAATTGATTATAGGCCGCTTTCCGACCTGTCCAGACATCTTCTGGAATTTCTCCTTCAAGTGGCTGTGATGGTGAGAGGTTGATCAAGTCAACAGCTGTTTTGATGGCTTCTCCCTAGAATGATTTCGGCAATCCGGCATTGGACAACATACTTCAAACCTTCTCTTCAATAGTTCTATTCATCCTCTTAGCAAGTCCATTCAATTGTGGAGTCTTGGGGGGGGAAGCGTCTTCTCAAGTCGGATCCCGGCCGCTCTGCAATATGCATCAAAAGGGCCGCAATACTCACCACCATTATCAGATCGGACCACCTTCAATTTCTTGTCAGTCTCCCTTTCAACCATCGCATGGAATTTTTTAAAATATTGGAGTACCTGGTCTTTAGACTTCAACAAATATACCCATACTTTACGGGAATGGTACGTCATCAATAAATGAAACAAAGTACTGAGCTCCTCCAAGGGATCTTTCCGACATGGAGCAGACATCAATATGGACGAGGTCAAGAATAAACCTGCGTCGTCTTGGTTGATCCGGTCTCACAAAAGAAACCCGGTGCTGCTTTCTAGCTAGGCAATGCGTGCAACTGGCCTTTCAACCCGGTCAATAATCCTTTCTTGTTCAAGATCTGGAGCTCTTTCTCGCTCATGTGGCCGAGGCGCTTGTGCCATAGCTCTAAGCAAGGTTTATTTTGAACAGAATTGGCTTCTCCGCCATTGATCTTTCCTTGCATCACGTACAAGGAGCCTTCCTTCTTACCTCGGGCCACGACCAAGTTTCCCTTGGCCAGCTTCCATCTAACACTACCGAAGTAGTTCGCTAACCCGGCATCATCAAGTTTGCCTACCGAGATTAGGTTCAAACGCATGTCAGGAACATGCCTTACATCTTTCAACACAAGTCGGCATCCGACATCTGTGGTCAGAGTTACATCACTGACACCAACAATCTTGTTGGTCACTTGATTTTCCATCTTCACGACTCCAAAATCACCACCTCGATAAGAAGAGAAAAAACCTTTGTGTGGAGTAACGTGGAAGGAGGCACCGGAGTCAACAATCCAGGTGTAGTCATCATATGCAACATTCAAATAATTATCCTCACCAAGGAGGAATATCTCGGTATTCGGGTTGGCAGCCACCACAGTAATGCTCTTGTCTTCCCTCTTCTTGGGAATAATCTGATCCGATTTCACAGAGCCGTTCTTCTCATCATTCTGCAGGGTCCAACAGTCTGGCTTTTTATGGCCTGTCTTTCCACAGTAAAAGCACTACAACTCATATTTCGGCTTTGACCGACCTCTGGACTTTTCTCGTCTGTCACGACCTCTACCCCTGCTTTTGCTTCTACCCCGGGAGTCGGATTTCCCTTTGTTTTCAGCAACGTTGGCCTCAGACGTGCTTGAAACACCTCGTTATCTTCTCCTGACTTCTTCGCTCAGGAGGCTGTCTGTCACGACATCCATCTTCAACTTTCCTTCTGGAGCTGAATTACTCAAAGTCACCACCAGAATATCCTAGCTTTCTGGCAGTGAGCTCAACAGCAGCAAAACCTGCATCTCATTATCAATTTTCATCTCAGCTTTTGACAGCTGATTCACAATACCTTTATAGGTGTTGAAGTGTTCAATCATGCTCATGTCGTCCTTGTATTCAAGCTTCACAAGTCGGCGAACCAGGTATGCTTTATTCCTGGGAGTCTTCTTTTGAATCATGGACTCCAGCTTCGTCCACAACTCATACGCGTTTGTGAACTTGGACACGTGCTCAAAGAGGCTTTTATCAATATATTTTCTGATCGTGGCTACCGTCTTCCGGCTCAGGATCTCCCACTCCTTATCGGTCTTGCCTGCCGGTCTCTCATCAAGGGTAATGGGCTCATGTAGATCTTTGCAGTAGAGATGATCTTCCATCATCGGTCTCCAATAGGTGAAATTATCAGCGGTCAACTTGAACATGTCTCCATCATTGGTTATGCCACTGGTCTCCATCTCGTCTCCCTTAGAACTCGTCGAACTCGGGCTCTGATACCACTGTTAGGAAAACTCGGTTCCCTCAAACTCGGCTAAGCAGCCTTTGTGCGGAAGTCAATCAACAAGATCCTGATCTCGGATCTCAGCAATACCTCAGCCTAAACTTCACCAGGTCGGGAAGCGCAGCGGAAAAATCAAAACAAAAAACACAAAACAGGAGAGAGAGAGAAAGAGAGAGAGAGAGAGAGAGAGAGAGAGAGAGAGAGAGAGAGAAAGAGAGAGAAAGAGAGAAGAACACAACCAGATTTAACGTGGGAAAACTTTCTCCAATGAAGAAGTAAAAACTCACGGACCTAGTCCAGATAAAAAATTCACTATGAAAATAATGGTTACAAAGAATCAAATACACCAATGTGGTGGTTAACTCAACCTCTCCAACAATGGTGATAATCAAACTACCCTAGAGATGTTTCACTCAAACTTTCTCTAGAGATCTCTCAAATGCAAAGCATGAAGCTTTGCTCAAACAATCAAATAATTATCTCTCAAAATTTCTCTCTAATCTCTTAACTTAGCCTCCACCCACAACTAATGAATATATAGAGGAGGTGAGATCTAGGGTTAGAGTTTTTAGGAAACCCCTCAATGGACTTGGGTTAGCATTGAAGGAGGAAGCCCAACACGTAACACATTTGATCATGAAATTTTCAAGGGTGGGAAGATTTATCCAAATTAAAGAATCACTTCAACCCAAAACTTTAAGGTGTTGGGTAAGAGCCTTTTTAATTATTTATATTATTCTTTAACACAAATTAAAATAGGGTAATATTTCTCTCAAATTGCATAAGAGATAAATATTTTTCTACACTCACGTACAATTGGAGGGCCCAACAAGAGAGAAAAATAAAATAAAATAGTAACTCAATTATCAATGTGATTATGTGACTGTAAAAAAATATTTCTCTCATTTTAACTTGAGTGAAACATTACCCATTAAAATATATAAATGCTTGCATAATGTATCTCGATTAGACGCTGTAAGTAATTGGCATTGAAAATTCACTTCGAGTGTTCTAACTTTATACTGCTATTCCTGAAAGCGTAGAAGTGACGTAAAGTCGTAAAGAACGAAAAAGCACAAACCCTCAAAGTCAGTTCTCTAAGCCGACAGGCTGACAGAATGTTTGGTTTACAATTAAGATTAATTAATCGATTTTATTTATAATATTCTATTGAATATTCATGCATACTTTTTTCGGTTTTAGTTTCGTTTCATACTGATCACCTTCATGAAGTTATAAAAAAAAGTAATAGTCGATTAATATTTTAAATCAACAGATAAAATAAAAAATCATCAAAAATAATTCATTAAAAACCAACTGTAAAAGCATTAGTTGACGAATATTAAAAAAAAATTATCAACCGAAATTGTTAATATATTAAATTATATTTTTTATTAAATAATTAACCGATAATTTTTAAAAAAAATTTACTTAAAATAAATTGATCTGCTTTAAAAATTAAAAACATTTATTTAATGGTTTGCATTAAATTAAGCACGTGTATTTGGAGAGGCGGTGCAATAAAAGACAATCACGTTCACAAGTGTGTCAATTTCGTCTCGGGTGTTACACATCACGCCGCAAGGATCGACATCTTATATCAATCTCGTCATGCCATTCGATCATTCGATGCAAATCGTGAAACACGTGCTCAAATTAAAAGAAAAAAACAGCTCCCACCGTTTCCTACCCGATGTTTTTTATTTTTGTTGTGCTTTACGTGTTTTTCAAGTACTTTTCCAACACCCATTTTGAACTCATATATACACCTTCTCATTCCCCATTTTTTTTTCAAAATTTTCTCTGTACAGCATTAACGTTATCTCTTTTTTTTCGGAAATTACGTCAACGTTATCTTTGGTTCTTCAACTTGAGTTTTCTCTTGAAACTCTCAAAGATAAAGAAGATGAGGAGGAACTGCAACTTAGAACTTCGCCTTTTTCCTTCCTGCGATTCCGATCCCCAACCAATGTAAGCAGTTTTTCTTTCTCTTATTCTCTTTTTTCCTTGTTTCAGTTTGTTTGTGAATTCTGATATCTGTCTATATATCTTCACTACCCTGCATATATTTGGATTCAGTTCTTAGTTTTTTCTTTTGGTTCTTTTGTTTCTCCAATGAAGGATGGAAGCAGAAGCCGGTGAGAGCCCACTACAACAATCCCACCGCCAAGACAACCACCACCACCAGAACCAGCAACAACCGTTGACTATTTTCTATGATGGCAAGATTTGCGTTTGTGATGTCACAGAGCTTCAGGTATATATATATATATTTTTTTTGTTGATGATTCATGATTGCTCTTCTTTTCTTTTTCTTTTTTAATTTAGTTTTCTTTAACATTTGAGTGTTCTCTGTTTTTTGGGCAAATCCTTCTGGTAACCTGAAAATTCATAGGATAAGTTAAGCTATTAGGGACTATCGATCCATTTTTGTAATTGTGGCTAATTAATTTGATTTTTAATTTCCCAGTATAATCAGATACGATGAATATTATGATTATCACTACGGTATAAATGGGTTACGCTCGGGGCGGCTCAACTTACATCAGATGGCTCACCCTATTATATATAGTTAAATAGAATATTTAAAAATTTTAAATAAAATAAATAAAATTATTATTTCAATAATTTTTAATCATAAAATAATATTATTTTAATTATTGAATGCCTAATAAATTTAGGTAGTATTTGGTAGGAGATTTATTTTGGGATTGATGAAAAAATGTGAGTGGATATTAAAAAATACTAAGTTTGATTCAGGTTTTTAAAAAAATACTAGGCAAATAAGATAAATGGGGAAATGACTTTTGTGTTGATTTTTGGATGAATTTCACTGTTAGAGAATACCACTTGAATTCGAAATAACTGTGGACCTAAAAAAACAAGTGTGAAGTTTCTCCCGAACATAGATTTTGCAAATTTAATTAAATTTCTCTGGTAATATTTCGGTCAACCAAACAACTTTTTTTACATTTTTCTACCAAACTCACTTTCTTTCCAACCATTTTTCTAGTAATTACTTTTTCATTTTCCTAGTAATTACATTTTCCTAGTATTCAAAAAATTTCTAAATTTCTCCTCAAGTAAATGACCTATTAAAGAGCCTAATAAATCTAGTAAAGTTTTTGTTTTTCAAAAATATAGGTCATAAATTGAGTCCAATAAATCTAGTAAAGTTTTTGTTTTTCAAAAATATAGGTCATGAATTGAGTTCACATAAGACTTACAGATCAGGTCAGACTTAAAGTATTTTATGCAAATCTGATTTATTTAGGCCAAAATTTAATCCAATCTAACCTCTTTATAACCCAAATTATCGCTAGTTATTATATATTATGGTAGGTTTTTTTATACATTTACTATATGATGAGTAACTACTATGTAACTTAATATTAAGAGTGCCTACCATGAAAGAGAAGGAGCGCGGAGAGAGAAAAACAGAAAGTTTTGTAAAGGACAAAGACCTTTGCTGACAAGTCGTTGGTGGTAAACCAGTACAAGACAAACCATAAGACGCAAAAACAGTAGCTAGGTACTGGTGTATCTGAAACTTTTGGCAAGTTTCCAAGTAGTTTCGGAGTATGAATCCATAGACTCATTATTTGACTTTTGACCTCAAAAATATTGGACACAACTGTATACACCGATACCTTAGGTGCATGTTTTTCTCAAGAGCGTTTTCTTTTATCCAAGCCACCTTATAATTTTATACTTTATGAAGGCAAATAAAATTAATGAATGAATCAATTTTTTTTAGTATAACCATGTAGAGTTGTAGACCCACTCTTTTATTTATATTAGGTGCTGGACTTTCACGTGTTGCCATGATTCATGATTTCAATTATTTTGAATATGAGAGAAGGAATTTTAATTGGGGTCATGTAAATTGCATGCAGGCGAGATACATTTTAATGCACGCAAATAAAGAGATGGAGCAAAGAATGAAGACACCAACTGGGTCAGAGCCATCTTCACCAAACTTATATAGCCCTGGCACTGGTCTTTCCATGAAAAGATCGCTTCAGAGGTTTCTCCAGAAGAGGAAGAATCGGATCCAAGAAGCATCCCCATACCATCACTAGCTTAAGTTGAATGAAGGGAAACGAATGAAAATTTTGGTTGTTTGTGTATGAAAAATTATGATGAGTTAGTTACATCTTTTGCAAACAGATCATAGTCCTGTGACTCAAGGGCTTGTAAATTATGTAGATGTGTAGATCAGGAATCCATGCTCACGGTTGTCAAGCTTAAAACAATTTCTTTATTAACATATTCGTTTTTTGGTTTATTGATAATGTCCTTTTTCATTTTGTTGAAGATTTAACTATTAGATCTTTTTCTAATGATGAAATACACTTCAATTTTTCTATAAAAAAAACGCTTGAATTTGATGATTGAATTTTTTTTTTTTATTTTAGTTTTCAGATCAGCATTAATGTATCAATCACAATAAAAAAAAGAAAAATGTTATTTAATTAATGTACCAATCACAATTAATATACCAATCATCAATCACAATTAATTTTGATAACAATTAATGTAACAATATTGGTACATTAATTGTGATTGGTAATTGATACATTAATTATTTGTGATACCATTGTTACAAACTCGAACGATATTTGTGAGAGATAAAATATATCAAACGATGTGTTATTGCTTAGGTCTCGAAAAGTTATATGAAATAAAATAAAAAAACATCTGATTTGGATATCCGAATCAAAAGGTATTGCCTTCCAAAGTGATTGGTGATTGGTATAATCAAAAGTTAATCTCATTGGTACACTAATTGTGATTGGTGATTAGTACGCATTAATTAAAAGCTTTTTTCCTTCATTTTCTTTTTCTATTGTGATTGGTACATTAATTTTGATTGAGCAACGAGATTGTGCCATATAGCACACCAAGTTCGCTACCCCTGGTAGCGAACTGAGTCCAGTCATCTTTTCTGCCACGTGTAACGAAATTATTGGTTATTGCAAAGAAGCCTAAAGTCATTTTGTTGGTTATTGCTCCTAAGTAGCAAATACATAATTAAATTAATAATTCTTATTATTTTATTTTATATTAATTGAATTCATTCCTTAATTATTTTTATTATTTACGTTATTTCTAGTATTTTTTTTATATTTCATTTATGGTGTTTTTATTGTTGAATATTATTGAAGAAACATATTTTGTCTTGAGTTTGTTAATTTTTATTAACTTCTTGAAGAAGTTATGTTTTATATATTTTATTAATTTGCAGAATATTGCAAATATTTACAAATATTATTATGTGACTGATTGTCAATGAAGGATATCATGTGAATATAATAAATTTAAAGTACATAATCAATTTTATTCTTTGAAGAAAGAAAATAAAACTTCAAAGTGACACTCTTAAATAAGGCAATCTAGCAACTTTATATTTATAAAAAAGGTGACCCCAGGAGTGGCCCAATTATACAAAGATTATGAGAAACCAATAAGTTCTAAAAATATGAAAAGAAGATATGAAATAATATTTGTGTATATATCATTGACCATGAACCTAAAGTTCACTGGCTCGTATGCTTTCAAGCATACCCCCCTCTTGAACTTGTACGTGGATGTAAACATGACGTTTACCATATGCACGGTTTTTTTGGTTGCATTATATATGTCCTTATGTCACTTGAAAGTTTGACATTTACATGAGTTTTTGAGACTCAATATAGAATCAAGTACTTGGAGCCCTTGATGGGCAATTTGTTTAATACATTATTCACTAATTAAACATTTAATGAAGGACATTTCTCGAAATTAGGGGGACAAAGCTAAAAGCTTAAAAGAATCCCGGGAAAATTATTTTGAATGAAAATAAAACCAAATGAATTATTTTGACTCATGTACAAGTATAATTGAACTTGAAGTTCAAAATAAATGCCAAATATTTCTGATCACAAATGAGTGATTAAGTCTCATATCCTTGCAGAAAGTGAGTCACATATAGTGGAGAATTTAATGAAACAAAATTTGTTTGAGTCTAGTCAACGACGGAAGCATGAATAAGACTAAATACATAAATCCGCGAAAAATAAAAATAAGTCACTCATCGTGCCTCCTGAAGAGGTCAACCGTGAAGAAAGCAAACCCGGTGAAATAAATGCAACTGCTAATTTTTAACAATCCCAGGAATACGAAACGACCAAATTTGAATGTCTTGGGAAACGACGAATATTTGGTTGATATTGACATAAAAGTATGCAATAAAACTATATTAATAAGGGAGAAAATATAATAATATTATCTGTCGCTGGCGACACCATTGCCTTCTCGGTAGCTCTTGTTGTCTCAAGAGATAATCTAGATCCAGAACCCAAAACCATTCAAGAATGCCAGAAGCATTCAGATGATAATGAATGAAAGGAGACAATTACGAAAGAACAAGGGTTTTTGATGAGACCCTATATCAATTATGATATTTATTCTCTTGTAATAAATTCGATTACATTCTGTTACTTGATCAGTATGGCAACAAGGATGCATATTAAAATGCATTTATGGACTTCGTGACTACAACGTCACTTGACGATGATATTTATATAAAAATCCCTGAAGGATTCTCCATACCCTGTATGGGAAGAATAAAATTCGTAGTATGTTTAGCATTGAGTTGCAAAAATCATTGTATGATGGTCTCAAAGGTATTATTATCTCGGCCTACAGATTGAGCATCTTCCAAAATGATTATTTTATTTTCACCAATGTTATTATATAATGATGGTCCATTCACTAGAAGTGAATATAGATCCATTTAGACAAATAACGAGAGAGGATTAGGACCTGAAGCCCTTAATCTTAAATGTCATATGAGCACTATTATACTCTGCAAATTGCAACAAGTCTGATATTGTATTTACAGTAGAAGTTCTAGCTAGACATAGTTTGGCCATTTAAGACATTGGAATGATGTTAATCATATTTTGGTTATATTCAAGTATTTACACATGATATGAAGATTTTACATTGGTGGAATATTTTGATGCTGACTATTTGTCTAATAATAACATATTAGATATGGATCTGTTTATGGAAGCACTGCAATGCTATGGAAGGCTATAAAAACTAAGCATAGTCGCTACTTCCTTAATAGATTACTTTCATCAGGGGGAGCGAATTAATTATGACTATTCCTGAAGGATGGAACCCTAAAGGTTTATTACTATAATTTTCCTTTGCTAAGATTTTCTTCCCAAAGGGTTTCTCTTGGCTAAAGGTTTTTAATGAGACAATTTATGCGAGGTTTTTAATTGCACACATCAGGTACTCTTTTTCCTTCGTTAGTTTTTCCCATTGGATTTTTCTAGCAAAGTTCTAATGAGGCATGAAATTAGCGTAATAATATCCAACAAGATGTGTTGTAAATAAAAGTTAATGATCAAATTGAATGAACATTACTATAATTTATTTCGGGAGAAGATTATGAGATAATCATTTTAGAAAATTGTAAATGTTGACCTATTCCCTTAGCTCCGGCATTAGCTATATAACTTAATTGAGGGGGAGTTATACACATTGCACTCTTTTTCCCTTTATCAAGTTTTTATCGTATTGAATTTTTTTTGGAGAGATTTTTAATGAGGCATATTCATAGTGTATAGTCATCCAAGGGGGGTGTTATAAAATATATAGTTTAATATGTGGGTGACTCTTTTGGTTGCCCATGTCTTTTGGTGTATCATGTAACCGCAACATTAATAGTGTATTCAATGTATTTATTCCTTTATTATGTTCAAAGTCCTATATAAGGACATGACTCTTGTAAGAATGTGGATGATCGATGAATAATAAGGTTCCTGCATCATACTCTATCTTCTTTCTCTTATCTCTCTCAAATCTTTTTCTCTAGTTTTATAACACGTGATCAGCATGATTGTTAATTCGTAGTACATAGTGTTAATTCGCTGCAGGAGAAGAAAACTTATCCTACTACATGAGAGTTATATTTCCCATCTTGATAAAGTTTTCGCCTTATGTATCATTTGGAATCCTGTCATCGTGGCTTGACAAAATAACATTATCGACTAAGTTCGCAAAGCCACCCTAAAGGAAAAAAGGGAGGAAAGCCGCAAAAGCTGTAAAGGGTTATTACAAATACGGTATATATATTTCCCAATATATATACCGTATTAGTAACAACCGTTTCCAGCTTTTGCGACTTTCCTCTTTTTTTTCCTTTGAGATTTCGACTTTGCAAACTTAGCCGATAATGTTATTTTGTCAAGCCACGATGACAGGATTCCAAATGATACATGAGGCGAAAAATTTATCAAGATGGGAAATAGAGCTCTCATGTAGTAGGAAAAATTTTCTTCTCCTGCAACGAATTAACACTATGTATTGCGGGTAGTACATAGTTATAATTTTAAAAGCTATTTTTTTCTCTCCTTAGAGGGTGTCGGCTGACGTGGCGAAGAGAAAAAAAACTAACTTTAATATTACAATTATATATTACCCGTAGTGCATAGTATTAATTCATTGCTGGAGAAGTCTCTTCTCCTACAACATAAAAAGTTGGGGACCTGACATAAATACTCTATATATTTGCAAGGTTCAGGAAGTAAATTTACATCATGTAACCCAAAATAGGTTCTTTTGGAATTAAAAAGAAAATATATATAGGAAATATGGGTAAACTCATATGCAGATGCAGTAGCGGATTCAGAAAATTTTATTTACGTCTACACACTTAGTGGCGGGGGTTGCGCTGCCCCTGAATTTTTCTTTAAAGAAATTTTTAAATGCATTAAAAAAATAAAAGAATATAAACAAGAAGGCAAAATAAAATTATTCACATATATCAAGCTTTGTTATTTCACGCATATCTCATTTTTTATAAAAGCTATTTCAAGCTAGAGTAAAGTACCTTTGGAATCCTCGATCAACAAATATTACAGGGCCCAATTTAATCCTTTAGAAGAAAAAGTCGACTTGTGCTTCCTCTGAAATTCAAAATAGACTAACGTGGGTCTTATTTGAATTTCAGAGGACCATGATTTCGACTAACTGTGTTTATTTTAAATTTCAGAAGGATCACAAGTCGACTTTTTTTTTCTAAAAGATTAAAATGGGCCCCGTAACTTTTGTTGAATACCCAAAATGTACTTTACTCTTCAAGATATTTCAAAAGAATTTTTTTTTTTGTCTGCACTTGCACACATAAGTAACCATGTAGATCCGCCAATGTGCGGAAGAGAAGTAAAATATTTAAAATATCTTTTATTTTCTTCTCAATTTCTAAAACAATGTCATTTGGATTTGTAAGAAATAATTTATCTCATATAATTTAAGAAATATTTTTTTATATTATATATATATATATGTGTGTGTCGGGGGTGGTGTGTGTGTCTGGTACAAATCGGCCTATTTTGACTATTTGATAGTTCTGGCAATTGTGAACTATTTCCAACCGAGTTGGATGGGTGTTGAACTAGTATTGGTTTTTGGATTATTATTGCAAAGTTACTTCAAGAGTATAGTTGGTGGATATAAAAGAATTAAAATACTAAACTGAAGTGCATGTAAAATAACTAACTTTTAAAATTCAGTTCATAAGCTAAACTTGTTTTCATGAATTAGGTTTTAAAGAATCAGTTCATAAATCGAATTGATTTTTAAAATTAGTTCAAGAGTTGAACTGGTTTAAAAAATAGTTTATAAATCAAATAGTTTTTTTTTTCATTTTCTCTTTTTTTCTTTATTTTTCTTTTTTCTCTTTATTTTCCTTATTTATTTAGTGGCTTCTTTTATTTTTATTACTTTATTTCTTTTATTTTTATTTTTTTAGAACATGTTCAACCCGAACAGGTTCCAAACCGTTTTCAAACCGAATCAGTTTGGGTTAAAAAAATATTTGATTCTTTGAGTTGAATTGGTTTAAATCAATTTGGTTCAATTCTTTAAAAAAATTCAGTTCAATTTGACCAATGCACACCCCTAATAAAACCCAATACCTCATCATAGAAAGTTATAACACTAATTACTAAGTCACAATTATTTTTGTCAAATGTAAAAGCATAAAAATAGCAAAAAAATGCAAGTTTCGACGTTTTTACTTAAATCAAATAATTAAACCGGGTCTTATAAAAAAAAAACTGAATCAAATCACCTTTTAACCCATAACTTACTTTTTTTTTTAAAAAAAAAAACCTATTTCCATTTTCCCAAAATCAAAATGTAATCTTCTTCTAGTTATGTGAAAAAAAAAACTCTTGATCGCTTGAGGTTGCTATTGTAGAGAAAGAAGACGGTGAAGCCATTGGTGAAAATTTGAAGTACTAAGCTGAGGTGGATTTTGAATAAATTTAATATGTTTTATTGCAAATGAACGTGTTACAGGAGCAAAAGAAAAGGACATTAAGGACATGCAACTATGCAAAATGATGTATTTGATTTGAATTAATTGATATAATTTAGAAGTTATTAAATTTTATTCTTTTGATATTTTGGAACTTGTTTGTAGAACATCTCTTTTTTATGCATATATTTTGGAACTTGTCTTATATAGTTATATGACTTATATATTTTAAATATGAAGTTGTTAATTGAATTTTGAGTAGCGACTTATGTGATTTTTTTTATATGCATATATATATAATTTTACATCTTGATCTTAAGTAGTAAAATTTTTACGTTTTGTATCATTTATACGATTTACGTTTCTACCATTTCCTTTCATTTCTACGTAGAAACTCGATTTTGACAACATTAATCACGATTACTTATTAAATATAATGCTTCTATTATTATATATTTTAATATATACCGATACAGTTGAACCAATGATTCACTTAACGAGCGAGTGATCCATTAACTCGCTGTCATGACCGAATCAATAACTCATCAGATTATAAATGCATACTAGAACGGAGAAAACTTCAATGATGCGAAAGCATCAAATTTGGTGCTACATTTTATTAAAATTGGGCCAAATGGCAAGCCTCTTAATTTGCGCTTAAAAAAGTCAATTTGCAATTGATATTTTTCCGTATGCTTGCCCTGTTAGCTTGAAGATTTGGAGAGGAAGATATAAAAGGGATTGGTTTAAAGTAAGAAATTCCGCTAAAAAATTAAATTAGTAAAAAAAATAATAATAATAAAATTTAAAATGGGTGTATTTTCTACACATAACGTTATTCCGCACCAAATAAAATAGAATTTATACAGACTACCAAAAACAAAATAGCATTTATACACATAATATCTCACTAAGCAAAACAACCCCTTTTAAAAAAAAGTATATTTTATAGTTTAGAAAACTTATGAGGGTTTTAACATTTACTAAGAAGGACATAAGAATTCCAAGTATACTTTTTTAAATTTAGAGAAAATTTTATCAGTATTTTTAAAAATAAAAAAATAAAAAATTGTAAGTGAGTATGTAAATTATTTTATGTACAATTTGTACCAAAAAAAAAATATGTACAATTGAAAAACTATATATTAAAAGAAATAATATTTAAAATTGTAACAAGGATATATATAATTAGTTCTAAAATTTCAAATTGAAAATTAAAACCAGTTAAAAATAATGTATGATTTTTTTTAAAAAAAAATTAAGAGATTTAGTCGCTTTTAAGAATATATTTTAATTTAATATATAATAGCGAATAAAAGAAATTTACGATTTTAATTTTCTATTCCCTGTCGTATTATCTTTATTTTCTTTGGATTCCATCCTTCCCAATCAATCCATCCTCTCTCCGGCCAAGTCCGAAACTTATCCAAAAGAATAATTGGCTGATTGAGTGATTTGGAAAGACAGATGTGAGTTGGTTGTTGTCCTGTCCTTATGAAAAACACAAAAATTGAAAAGAGCTGATAAGTACTTTAGAAACTTTCTTTTTTTTAAAGAAAAAAGTACTTTAGAAACTTGAATTATCTTAAACAAAATAATTCATCGTCTCCTTCCGCTTGGCAACAAGAGTCTGTCTGTTCATACCATCACTAAGTCTGTCTCTTGACTTAATTCCTTGAGGTCAAGGACGTCCTTGGGATGAGAACGTTACATGAGAATTTCACAAGTGAGAATTGCATCCGAGTAACTGAACTAGCTATCATTATAAGTTGTACACCAATACCGCGAGATTTGTTGTTGATCTGGACCATACTAAACGAGATGAAAGGTCCAGTCCAATAACAGTCCAAAAGGTCTAAAGATAAAGACTTAGTCAATAAGACAATATGTATGTTACGTGTACATGCAATCCCGATAATGCATAATTGGACTGATACTAGCTCAGTTTATAAGCCTTCTTAACTACCAATTACCAAGGAATATGCCTGGGATTCCAGTTAAGTCTATGTATCATAGCTCACCAAGAGCATCTCGCAGACAAGATAGGCTGACAAAGCTACCACAGTTTACCAATAAGAATGCATGCCGCCATTACTAAGGCGGTATAACTAGATCATGTCGCTACTATAAAAGAGAGGCTTAAAGCCTAGATAGGATCATCTTCTTCCAATATATTTAAGCTCATAACTCATATACTGAGTTGAGTATCAGAATGCCTGCAACATCTGTCCCAGAGTAATAAATTTCACCGACACACTATCATCTCGTAGATATCATCTCGTGTAGCAGAACACCAGATCCCGTCGCAATCACTCTTCCTTCATCACTAGAATCAAACTCAACTGTGTGTCATCAGACCTATCGATTTTCTGTTGCACCAATCAGTTGTTAAACCAGATATAAAGAAGATTAGGAATAAATTGAGGCTCTAGTGTAATCATCTACATCTAAGGGGCTAAGTATTTCAGTTTGAGTCAATTGATATTCAGCATTCTTTAGAAAGATAATACAGCTAAGTAAGAATTTTCATCTAGCATAATACGGCCAAGCAAGAGTTTTCATCCAGCATACCTTCTATGCAAAATGTTAATAAACTCGGATCAATCATTGATTCGATCAAGATATTAAGTCAACGGGTCAATGATTCAATTGGGTGGATCACGGATTGAACTGATCAAACCAAGTTTATATAGACATATATTAAGTATAATAATAACGATATATGACTCAAAAATGGTGTTGACTTAGTGATAAACTTGATAGGTTATAAAGTTTAAGTGAAAGGTTTGACTCCTTACAACCGCAACTTTATCAATATTTTGCATAAAATTTTAAAATATCTTCGAATAGCAATCGGTATTGATTAGGTGTCCGTTCAACCAATCGAACAGACCGGTTCAGATTTAATAACAATGCTTCCGCATGCTCTTATCATCTTATCAAAACTACCGCTGAAAAATGACGTAGTGTTTAATGCATTAATGACCATCAATGTTTTGGCTCAATTTTGTTCAAAGAAGACACTATACCATGCTAATAAACGTCTCCTCTTCTTACTTACTAAAATCACAAACAAAAAGGTTCCCACTTGGAGCAAGACAAATGTATTTTATTTTGTTTTGTTTTGTTTTTTTGATACAGAAAGATTTAATTAAGAAAAAAAAATTGCTCATGTCTTCCTAAGTTACTAAATCGTGCTAGGTAAGGTTGGCTCATCAAGCAGAAAACCTCAATTGTTATGAGTTTTGCTTCTGACTAAGTTAAGGTCAAAATGACTGGACCTCATATACAAATTTACCAAACTAGGATTATTATTATTTTTATTATTGGAAACAAAGACATGGATCACATGAACTATGTCAAGATGGAGAAAGCTCAATTAATTCAGGATGCTACAAGATCTTACGAGTTAAAGATAAATAATGAGAGATACATGATCATAAAACTTCAGCTTTTGCTAAGAGTCATGTTTTAGAGTTTACCAAATCCCATCACCAAGTTCAATGAAATGAGTCCAGGTAAAAATTTATTCTACAGAGAAAAAAGTAGCAGTTACTACTGGATGGCTCATTGTAACAACAAAGTTTTCTACTGAAGGATTAAATAAGAAGAAAGGTTTATTCTGAAATTCTTATTATTATTATTATGTGGTTGTAGATGTGTAACCTCTCAAGCTGGAGTCCTATATATTATCTCATAACCGGGGAACAATTCTTGGGCGGTCCCATTCTGTCACAACATGGTCACGAGTTATCTCATTGAGCGAACGGCAACCACTTAGTGCCATAGTTAGTTCAAATTCATCACGAAGCATCTGAAGTACTTTTCTTACACCAGCCTCACCATCAGCAGCCAATGAGAACAACACAGGTCTTCCAATCTGAAATTTGAGATCAATGGTAAATATATATAAAAATAGCAGGAATGTGGCGCTAGCTAGATTATTACATTCTAAAGAAACACTTGTAAATTGGCATAACTGGTTTTCAGATAAGACATCTTTGGTTCAAATCAGTAAAAAAAAAAAAAAGAGAGGAGAAAAGCATATTCTATGAGTTTCCTTGGCATTTGTGGTAAATTCTTAATCTGAGGAAATGTCTAAGATCATATGCTTCTTTGAGGAACTTAGGAACTATATATATATGGTTAGTAAGGCAAACAAGCCACATGTACCAATTATATCACCTACTGAAGTTAAGCATTCCTATGATGGTGATCAAACTATCATTCACTTACAAATACACCGCATGCTCCGAGAGCCAGTGCTTTAAAAACATCTGTCCCTCGGCGAATTCCACCATCCAGAAAAACAGGAATTCTTCCTTGTGCAGCTTTCACAACCTATCCAAGCCAGGCAAGCAAAATCTTAATAAAACAATTACAAAGGAATGTCTCTGCAATAACAAATATAAAATGATTCAAAATGTAACAGCTTTAAAGTTTAATGCATAATACATGATTAACTGAAATTTCACAAAGAATGGGTAAGACTTAAGTGGAATGATAACCCTGGAGACCTAATTCAGACTGTCAAGAAGTGATTCATTTCTATTTCATTTAATATGAAAATTTTCCAGAAATGATTAGGATGCAGTACCTCTTCCAAAGCCATGATAGTTGCAGGAACATAGTCAAGTTGGCGAGCTCCGTGATTGGAAACTATGATTCCAGCTGCTCCAGCTTGAATAGCTATCCTTGCTACATTATTAGCATAGGATTTGGGATTACATTCAAGATTGAGAAAACAATCCTAACAAAGATCAAACGGATAGGGTTGATTTTGATAAGCTTACTATCTTCAGCAGTAAGTACACCCTTCACTATAATTGGCAATGAGGTGATTGTTTGAAGCCACTTCACATCCTGCAACCAGGTTCACAGATTATGAAATCATATATGTAACAAGGTTTACCATAGTATTACTTCCACGATCAATGTCACAGATTACGAAATCATATATGTGAAAGATCTACATCACCTTCCAGCTGAGTGATCGGTCAACTTGGTTAGCGGCATAAGAAGCTAGACCAGAGTCAGTATTAGTCTGCAATGTGATCCCAAACAGTAAATAGCAACAGTAACAACAATAATATGACTAATAAGCCATCTGATTTAAAAATTTTCACACTGATCACACACCTTATCCAGCTTTCCAAGATCCAATCCTTCAAAATTCTTCAATGTCAGGTTTGGTGGCAATGTAAATCTGAACGAAAACCCCATCAGACAAGCCAGTAGTATATATCTTTAAAGTAGAAGATTTATTAATTCTAACATGATGACCCAATACGCACGTAAAGTTTTGTACAAGACCGTTCCTATTGAAATTTCCAAATGATTGCCAACCTGTTTTTAATATCAGCCTCCCTACGACCAAGAAGTGGAGTGTCCACAGTAAGGGCAATTGCCTTGAAACCAGCCCTTTCAGCTCTTCTCACAAGCTGAGTGACCACATTTCTGTCTTTATACACCTAGGACAAGAACACAACAGAAGCAGATTAGGTTATAACCCAAGATGGAGAATTTTGAATCATCATATTAATGTCTATGTAACTGTAGCAAGGAAAATAATATTTTGTTATTAAAAGGAAGTATGGAGGAAATTATTGCACAAGAGTCAAAGGCTACTTAGTGGATGGAAAAAAGAATATCATGTGAAACTGATGTAATATTTTCTGGTAAAAAGCATTGGAAACAAAATGCAACCTGTGGCAGTACGCAGGAATTAAGCCTTAATTTTCTATCACATTAAAGCATTACTAAAAGTGTAACTAAAAAAACTATACGACAATTCATACATGAAAAGCGAATTCCTGTTTTAAACTAAGTTTCTCTGAAATGTTTCCTTGACAAGAGGTAGACTTGTAACACACACATGAAAGAAAAGAGAATCATGAAAATAAGAAATGAGGGCAATATACCCACATAGAGTTGGAAAAAACGAATGCCAGGTCCTGTTGAAGCAACCTCCTCCACACTGGATGTAGCCCATGAGGATAGTGTCTGTGACAAAAAATTATGAAAAATGACTGAATAAGTACAACAATTGCATGCATGTAAGTAGGCCTATACAATTTCATATTAGAGTCAAATATATAAGAAAACTACAATGAAATAAATGTAGTTCTTAATTGAAATCAATCTTAAGTAGAGAACAAATATGGTGGAAACTAAACCATGATTGTGCCAGCTGCTGATGCTGCTCTAGCGGTAGCATATTCTCCTGCACAAAAGTCGCATAATTTTGTTTTAATTCAGAAGTTTTTCTCAATTGTAGGGGGAAAAATAAACTTTAATATAAAAAATTGAATCAGGGACTCTTTTGCTTCAACAAAATAAAAATCTGCAAAGCTAATGTTTAATTTCTGATTAAAAATTTATAATTTGCAGTATATACTGGAAATAACAACCACAACAGTCAGCACAAAGATACCTTGTCATGCAATTAAATGTGAGGAAGCTACATATATATTATGGCATTCTATACTTCTTCCTATAACCATTCCAACTTAAGGTATGGGAATGCATAATTCTATGTTTATAGCTTTTTGAGTACTGTAGTTATATAAAACTAACAAAACAGTGGGTGCAACTGCAATGGCAATATGTTAATGTAACGCAGACGAATGAGTTTGATGACATACTGTTAAGAACCTTGAGGTCACCACCCCAAAAGCTAGCTCAAAGGGTGGGAGTGCCCAAGGCCTTATAAACTCCACATTAGTTGCCCACACAACCAATGTGGGACTATATATCTCAACACGCCCCTCACACGAGAACCCACTAGACTTGAAGGGTGGACAACATACAAGCCCACCTACATGTGGAAATTCCACTACAAAGAAAGTGGGAGGCGGTGAGATTTCGAATGTTCTGATACCATGTTAAGAACCTTGAGGTCACCACCCCAAAAGCTAGCTCAAAGGGTGGGAGTGCCCAAGGCCTTATAAACTCCATATTAATTGCCCACACAACCAATGTGGGACTATATATCTCAACACATACCTTCAGGGTGAGCCATCTTTTGCAAGGCTGTGGGAGCAATCATGATAGGCATTGATATTTTGAAGCCCAATACAGTCGTTGTCAAGTCTATCTTGCTTACATCAATAAGAATACGTGGTCGGAACCTGTTTTAAGTCAACCAAATAGATATTGTGAGAAGGGCTTCAGCTAATAACACAATGTTAAAAAAGAGGAGATTAAAATTAAATAAAGGAAGCACTAGTCGTAATCTCATAACAGTGGAAAATCATAATGTGTCCTTGGCAATAAAAGGAAAAGGAAGTAGATTACAGAATCCTTGAGAATGCATTTCGGTTCTCTTTCAAAGTCCACTGATCCTCTGCCCCTGATGCATAATAGTCATAAACCATCTTTGGCAATTTTTCCTTTGCGATTGCCTCATACTCGGTAACATTAGTTATCTCCATCATCCCCATATTTCCTTATAATGTCCAGGGATCCTCTGAAAGTGAGTTAAAAATACAGTATTTAATTAACATGAATTCATATCAAATGCATTCCAAATCCAAAGAAGGTATGCAACATCTATAATACATAGTTCACTGACTCATTCCAGAACACTATAAAATATGCTGGTTAGTATTCTGTATAAATGCAATCTTGGACAAAGTGAGAACTAAAAGCAGAACGTAGCCTTTTGGTGCCCCTCAATTGTATTTTAATTATCCACACCACAGTCATAGAGTAGTCTTTTATAAAGGGAAAAGAGCAAATCCCAGTGCCCAAGAGGCTCCCCCACTTACATGAATAGGAGTGAGAGTCAATTTTACCCTTATATTTTTGCAAATAGGTTTTTTCTCATACTTAAATCAATAACCTTCTGATCTGATCACAAGTAGCAACCTATGTTGTTGCTGCTGCAAAACTCGCAGTGTCAACAAAGTAGTCTTTTATGAAGAAAAAAAAAATAAGTTTTGATTCCATGTTAAATTCAAGATTAATCAGTCCCCATCACATGAACAGCAGGATCTTCTGAACTTTTTCCCGTCGAACCCCACTTTCCGGGTTCTTTTTGCTTTATGTGTTACTGATGAGTATTTGCACAAAACAGAACCAGTTCAAAATTTACCCATTCAAATTATTACAAGGGAGCTAGAACAAGATTCAGAAGAAACCCGTAATGGAAAACAAACAAGGAGATTAAAGATCCAAACTTTCCTAAATATTTAAACTTCAAACAATACCCAAAACAATAAATTGCGATCATTGGGTGCAAAAAGGAAGGAACCGTAAATTAAGACTATAAAAAAAAGTTAATCAAGTTCATTCTAATCAATATAATACAAAATTAAAATCCAAACGTGGGACTAAGGAAGAATGAGAATAACACGAATATATAAGTTGAAGGGGAGAACAAACCTTTGGCAACCAAATATTGAGCTGGTGAGAGGTGAGGAATGAGATGGAGCTATGAAAGGAGGAGTAAGAAAATATGATGAGGAAAGTGAAAGAAGTGTTAAAGTATATAATAGAGCCAAAATGAAATGAAACAACAGAAGGGAAATAATGAAGGAATTGTGTAAAGTGACAAAAGAAAGAGCATCATCACATGAAATATTAATTAGATATGCAGTGAGACACGCACTTGTGGATTGCTTTCCAAGGTGGGCGGGCAATCAGACAAAAACTGTTTCATGGATATGTGAGCTTTTGTATTTGATGACCATGTCAACCATTTTTGGCTCTTGTTCATTGGTTATTCGTTCCCTTGTATGTTGTATGTCAACAACTTTCTGGCGAAATACGACGTATATGTTATTTGATTGTTCTGCACAAATATTTTTCTTGGGACGATTATACTGACTTTTTTATATTTATTATTTTTATAGAAAAATATTTCGGTCATATATAAGTTATCTGCATTTATTCTTAAAAAGACGTCTTAACAATTAAAAAATATAATTATAAAGATTATAATAACCCTAAAATAAATTAAAATTATAAAAATACTATGATTTCTGTCCCAAAATGATATGTATTGCGCTTACTGCAGATAACTTATTATATGCAGTAAGTAAGTAAGTACAAAAAAAAAACGAACTCTTACTTTTATGATCGTTGAATATATTTAAATAAAGAGAGAAGTGTTTTTCAATTTAAATGACATAAAATTATATTATTTTAGTGTATTTTTATATATTCCTTCCTTCATTTTTATTCTTTCTAATTTTATAAAAAAAAATGACAAATCACACAAAAATAATATAGTTTCATTAAAAATGATATAAGGCTATGTTATTTAAAATAATAAATATTTTTCTCATTATATTAATAATAAGAAATAATTAATATAAGTCGTTGAGATAAAAAAATATATATATATTATTATACTTGAGACCGTTAATTGAAATATAATCAATGATAATAAAACAAATAAGAATAGAAAAATTAAATAAATAAATAAACAATATAATCATCTATTTTTTTATATTGTTAAAGATATTTTTTTTTGAATTCATATTTCTTAGTAATGAATTTTGATGATTACATTACTTGAATAAAAATCCAAGAGGAAAGAAAAGTGCCTATTGCGGGTAGATTATTAAAACTCATATTTGTCCATTCTATTTCCCTTTTAGTTTTTTTTTTTTTTTTTAAGAAAATAATATTTATGGAAATAATATGATCCGGATGGTATTTCTGTTTTTTTTTTTGGTATTTCTAAATGGATGAGAATGATGATTGTGATATCTAATTGATCAAAACATTATGGTACAGGCTGTTATAGGATTCTACTTAGTCATCACATCACAAGTGGGAGAATGAATAGTGAACGTTTGTTGGTGAAGATGGAATAATGCGTTAACCATGTTTGTACTTTGTAGTCAGTCACATTGATGGGTATGTTTTGTGATGGCATCATATTGAACCTTATCCAGCGATCCACAAGGGTCCCTCATCTTCTCCAACTCCAATCCCTGTTCCTCAAATCATCCCTTCATCATCACCCCAACTTCATCTCCCAATTCCTCTTATCAGCATGTTCCTTGTCCCTCCCTTTGGCCAAATCATTCTTCCAAACACTACCCATTAACCCACCACTCTTTGCTTGGAACACCATCATAAGAGCATTCGCTAACAGCACAACCCCACTTGAATCCCTCAACCTCTTCCGCCACCTTCAAAGGTCTGGCCTTTACCCTGACAACTTCACCTACCCTTTTGTTCTCAAGGCCTGTGGTCGCTCTTCCTCCATTGCCCTAGGCGGGGTGCTGCATTCTTTGACTTTGAAGATGGGTTTTCACTCTGATCGCTATATAGGCAATACCCTGTTGAAGATGTATGTAGATTGTGGCGCGGTTGGGTTTGCACGGAAGGTGTTTGATGAAATGTATGTCAGAGATGTTGTGTCTTGGAGCTCCATGATCGCTGCATATGTTGCTTGCAACTCCCCATCGGATGCATTAGCTGTATTTCAAGAGATGAAGCTGGCAAATGAAAAGCCAAACTCGGTTACTTTGGTCAGCTTGCTATCTGCTTGTACTAAAATGGTCAATGTCAGTGCTGGTGAGTCCATTCATTCCTACATTACCAGGAATCACATGGAAATGGATGTTGCTTTGGGCACTGCTTTGTTTGAGATGTATTCAAAATGTGGGCAAATTGACAAAGCCCTTCTGGTTTTCAATTCAATGCCTAGAAAGAATTTGCAGTCTTTCACAATCATGATCTCTGCTCTTGCAAATCATGGGCGTCAAAAGGATGCTATTACTCTTTTCACCCACATGGAGGATATCGGGTTGCAACCAGATAGTCTATCTTTTTCTGTGATTCTGTCAGCATGCAGCCACATGGGACTTGTTTCTGAGGGCAAAAATTATTTTGATCGGATGGTGAGATTGTATAACATAAAGCCAACTGTTGAGCATTATGGATGCATGGTTGACTTGCTAGGAAGAGCTGGCTTGATTCAAGAAGCTTATGATATCATCAAGAACATGCCCATGGAGCCCAATGCTGTCATACTGAGGAGTTTTCTGGGTGCATGCAGAAATCATGGGTGGGTTCCTAGTTTGGATGATAATCTTCTGTCTAAACTGGAGTCTGAATTGGGGGCAAACTATGTACTTACTGCTAATGTTTTTTCCATCTGTGCTTCCTGGAAGGATGCCAATGACTTGAGGTTAGCCATGAAACAGAAAGGGTTGAAGAAAACGCCTGGCTGTAGTTGGGTGGAGGTGCAAAATTGATATCCAATTATCCAATATATTTTGAGAAGTTCTACTATATGTTTTGGTTCAGAGAAGCTTGCCTTACTAGCCATTTTTCTACATCCTTCCTATATTCGTTGAATTATTAATTGCAAATAGATACATACACAATCACAACTGTTAGCTGTTAGGAATTAGGACTGACCAGAAATTGTAAATATAGATGAGTTTAATTCAGGTTTCAACTCTTCTGTTAGGGATTGTGCTTGATCTTCCAATTAAGTATTGTTCATGTTTAAGCTACAAATTTTGCATGAATGGCATATACAGAGAACAATAGGAAGCAATGCTCGCTAAGTTCTGTTAACTTTTGCCAAAAGTGCGAATCCACAGATAGTAACAAGGGCTCTTCACTTTAGTAATGACTATTCATAGGAAAGAAAGAAGCTTGGTTGGCAGAATACTAGATCGTTCTGGATGTATGACAGCCAGGTTCTCTGGATATTCCCTAACTATAAAAGCATCTGCACTTCCTTGTGCAAATCGTAATATGTGCGAGATTGAATTTCTTATCAGTGGTGAGTTTCTTTCAAGTATCCATTAAAAGTTTCCTTCCAAGCATCCATTCTGTTTGTGATTCAATTTTCCAAACACCATGTTGTAATTATTACTCCTAGTATCAACTAATAGGCCTTGTTCCCTTTTGAATTGGTACATCAAAGTGTTCAATGTCTTTGTCTACTTTTGTCTATGCTTGGCTTTTGATTCTGTTTATTTTGTGTATGATTACCCCCAAGCCCCAATAGGTATTATCTAGTAGAAAGTGGCTTTGAATTTTTTTCCTTGTTATGTGCCTTTTAGCATGTGATGAAGGGCTGGCAATGCCATATAATATTTGCCTGCATTTTTTTCTTCATTCAAGTCATAATTCCATTAAATCTTGCTTGTTTGTCACTCATACCATTTGTTTTGAGATGAAAACTCCGAAGGAGTTTTGTGCTGATGCAGTTTCTGCTGCATCTGACTTTAATGAATTGAATGCTTCGTATGTTTATGATGACCAGGAATGTTTTTTTTATTTTCTCAAACAATTTCCTTTAAAATCTTTATTTTCTCTTTGTCCTAGTATTTTGTGTTACTTTTGTTTATTGTCCAGTCCCAAGTGTCCAAATTAGATCTCAGGTTTCTTAACTGCATATTTTTAGGTCATTTTTGCCGTGGGAAAGGGTGTCCATAGTTTTTTCATATTGCGTTAGACCATTCTCTTGCAGCTGCAGATGTCACTTACTTAAGTCTACTCTTATTTTGCCAGAGTTCTTCCACGAATTTTCAGATGAAGTTTGATTGTTTGAGGAAGATTTTCGTGGGTACAAAGGCACATAATTCTTAGTTCTTAAGAGATTTCTTGACCCTCTATAATACAATTTATTTTCGTTGTTCTCAACCCCTAGAGTGGCATGGATCTTAGTCGTGACCCCATCCCAATCATCCTCCGAAAAATAAAGGCAATTATTGACCATTTTTAGTTATCTGTCTTATGATTGGCTTTCTTCCTTCAAATTATATGTAGCTTCTCTTAATCAAGTGATACTTCCAAAGTCTATTTTAAAAGTTCTGTCTCATACTAGGATTACAACTCTAAGAAACTCTAACCGGAATCCTCCAACTACAGTCTCTCCCACATTTTCCAATAGAATTTCAATCAGCATTTTCCAATAGAAATTCCCATATATTACATTTTAATAGTTTCTTTAGTACAAATTTAACATTTGAAATAAAGGTATTTGTGAGTAATGTTTAGTTTTTTATCACAATTTTTTTATTAATAATAATGTTTCTGATTTATAGAACTCTCTTGGTTAAACAAACAGACTGGAACCAGCATTTCTCACTTCTACCAATGATGAAAGCTCAAAGCTGGGTAAAGTTATTCATAAAATAGTCTCCTCTACTTTTATTCCAGACTGACGCTCCTTCCTGGTTAAACATTCTTATAATTGGATGAGAACAAAACTGCAGGATCATAGCCTTCAAAAATTGTTTCTTTTACCAAAAAATATTGAAGATACATATTCCAATCTTCATATTATCATCTTCGTTTGCTGCAGTTCCAAAAAGAATTGGGATTCAGTTCCCTTATATATTAAATGCATTGTACTCAAGGGCTGAGACAGTTTCCATTTAACTATTTTACTGTATGTTATTGTTTGACTAGTTGGTGGGATGCACACATACTAGAATTTCTCCTCATGAGATAGGTTTTTACAGTTTCTTGATTAAGTCATGGTTAAACAGTGAAACTCAATTCATTTTTTTGCGTCATCTCCAATGGTAATTGGTAAATGGTCCACGTTGGCCCAGAGTAATATTATTTTGCCTTTATTCACAATAAGTTAATTATATTCCCTACAGATCAAAATGTGATAAAAAGTAAAAAAAACCATCAAGGCTTAGAGATTCTCCTGATTTATTTATTTTTTACCTTCTATTCTTAGTTAATTACATAATGTTTCATTTCAGAACCCCCACCCAAACCACCACCACAAAAAAAGAAGAAAAAAGAAAGAAAAAGAAACGCATGATTGTTTCTATTGATGTCATAAATGATGATTCACAATTCCACTGAAATGTACTGAGATAAATACAAAAATGACAGCTGGCTTTGTACCTGAGCAAGCTTTCTCCCACACACACTCTATGCTTTAGTTTCAGAGCTACTACTACTGTGCACTCACTCTTCCCACTCACATGGCTTCTTCAGTAACCAGATCAACTTCAGGTTTCAGCTTCTCAGACCACTGGCTTCTAATGGCAACCACTGCTCTCATTTGTGGCTTTCTGGGTTACATAATCTATGATGCAATCATGGCTACTGCATCTGAGTTGCTGCAGCGTTTGCTGGTAATTTCTCCATTGCTCTTAATCATCATTGTTCACTGGCTCTCCACTGGCAGACACTTAAGCATCCCCATACCAGGATCTGAACCCAGTGCCATCCACAGAGCTGGTGGTTCCCCTTGGGGTGTTGCCTTTGTCCTTCTTCTCCTTTTCTTTCTCATTTCATATCAACCTTCTCTGCATGACCTTATGTCTTAGCTTGTGTGTTATAATTAAGCTAAGAAAATGCAATGCATGTCACTCATATGTAGTGGTGCGTTGCTTGTAGTTTTAGAGTTGATATGGGTATATTAGCTTCATGTAGCTTATAATGAAGCTGTTTCTAAGCAAACTTGAAACAATATAATATGTATTTGGTATCAGTATGAAATGGTTCTTTAACTAAATTTGGGTATGTTGTTCCTGTAAACTTGCAATGTCTCTGCCTCTAAAAATGTCCTTGCTTTTATCTTGTAGCAAAATTTTGTAGCTGCTTAAAGTTTCGATCTTTGCTAACCTGTGGCAGATGTTTGTCCTTTTTCTGAGAAAATTGCAATGGCCTTGTGTCAAACATCAAAACTACTCAGAAATTGGATTATCAAGTAACCTTTTTTTTTTGTGGATTTCATCTGCTGGTGTTCATTTATAATCATGTTATTATAAGATTTAAATACCATATTTCTCAGTCGTAATTTTCTCTATTTGGTAAAATGAGTTGAATTCTTATGATTTACAATGAAATGAACATTTAATTTTTCCTCTACCCTCTTCTGATTTAATTTTTCCTCTGCCTTTTTTTTGTTCTGTTTTGCTGAGAGGTTGTTAATAAAATATTTTGGGATTTAATGCATAGAAAGTGAAACTTCTAATTTTGCTCCTTCAATTTACTGATTCCCGGTGGCCATTAGTGTCATGTGCTGGCATGTTATTGAAAGAAGTAATTCAACTGCAAGGAAAGTCATGTACCAATGAACTGCAAGGAAAGTAAAACTTCAATATTTTTTTAATAATTATAAATCCTCTCTACCTATCGTGCTAAAGAAATTATTGAATGCTTTTTATAATTTGAAAATATTTAATGTAACTATTTTTATTATTAAATATTAAGGAAAAATATTTTAGGGGAATATAATAAAACTCATTTTTTTGAATAAAAAAAAAACAAATCGAGGTAATTGATGGTGGGAACTTACTATCAGAAATTTATTTAGGGTGTGTTTGGTAGAAGATTTTGTTAAGGATAGCTAGGTAAATGGAAGTGGTATTTTTGGGTGTTCATGTTTGGTATCATATTTTAAAAAAATTTGCTAGAGAACTCATTTGCCTAGTATTTGTTTTTTGTGTGTAAAAACATTGTTGAATAATGCCACCTACAAGGTGGTATTTACTGATAGATGGGAAAATTTAAAAAGGATTGCAAGCAAGGAGACCAAAATGACTCTGATGTTTAGGAAAATTACAGCAAACTAAAATCATATTTTCCTATTTTATTTTAGTCAAGGGTTGTTGCGGTAATTTAATCATATTTTTCCACCTATATTTTACCTTCAACCAAACATAGACTTATAAAATTTTACTCAATTTCCCTAGTAAAATTTTGGTCAACCAAACAATTTTTTTTAATTTTCCTACCAAATTTCATTTTCCACCATATCCCTAATAATTATATTTTCCTGGTAAAAAATATTTTCTCCTCTATCAAACGTCATCTTGAGAAATTTGCTTACAATGGAGATTTTAAAAAATTCAATAAATAAATTACTAGTTTGCTAGTACATGTGTGTAAGATAGCCCTAAATTAATTTTCTTGCATTTGAAAACAAAAGAAAGTTCTTTTTTTAATTCCCCATTGTTTATTTTCACCTTAAGAAGGTCTCTTCCATGTGGAGAACTTGAAACTTCCTCAAAACACACCTTTTCACTTGTTATTGTTATCAACTTATCATCATCAAAAGATTCAATTTTTTGTCGTACCCTGCGGCGATATATCGGTTCGGACCACTCTTTCATAAGTACATTGAACGACGGGTTTAACCTTTATCCAACGCACATAAAATTAAAAAAATTGTTGTACGTGCCAAAATGGATCAGTCTTAGCTAAACAAAAAAAAATTGTCATCAATTAAAATTAAGAATATGTTTGACTTATATTTTGTTTTTAATCCAACGCATATATTTTTATTAATTAATTAATAATTGAGGGCGAGCCTCGTCTAGGTTTAGTGCTAAAATTGAATTAACAATAGCACCTCAGAGTCACATTGATCAATACACTCTTGTGGTAATTTCATATTCAAAAGTTTTTTTTTCTTGTACAGCTAGTATTTGTTTTAATAATAACATAAATCACTTCAACGTAATTATACTTTTTAGCAATAAATACTTATGCAAAATAAAGTTACCCCAACATCTATATCTCATTCTTGAGCTCTTGCCCGTTTTGTTTTAATTCATATAGAGTAATAGAGGTGATTTAGACTTTGAATGCACTTGAAGAATTTCCATTACTGTGCTAGTTATCATTATCATTCGTTTAGAGCTCTTGCCCATTTTTAGGGTTTATTTTTTCTGGAGATAAGTTATTTGCAGTAAACTCAATACGACGTTATTTTGGGGCGGAAATCATGGTGTTTATATAATTTTAATTTATTTCAGAGTTATAATGATCTTTATATTTATAATTTTTTAAAATTTCAATACTAAAATGACGTCGTTTTAAGAATAAATGCAGATAATTTATCTGCAGTAACTGCAGAAACATTTTCCCCTAAAAAAAAAGCTAAAAGCTGTTTGGAAATTACATAAAAAATTTAGCTTAAAAATTACTTAAAAGCACATATTTCAAGAAAATTATCTCTCTCTATCTTTATCACTCTTCATTTTAAAAAAAAGCACACAATTCAATAAAAATAGATAAGAGCTTAAAAAAAAGCTCCCCCTAGTGCATGTTTGGATCCTCTCTTTTTTAAGCTAAAAGCTACTTATAAGCATAAGCTAGGCCAAACAGATTTTGGAAAAAGCTCTTATAACGAAAAGTTCTTTTTTTATAATAAAGAAAAAAGTTGAAAACTAAAAGCTCCTAGGAGCCTGTTTGGAGCCTCCTAAAAGCTTTTAGTTTTCAGCTTTTTTCTTCATTATAAAAAAAGAGCTTTTCGTTATAAGAGTTTTTTTCAAAATTGTTTGGTCTAATTTATGCTTATAAGTATCTTCTAACTTACTTATAAAAGAGATAATACAAACATGCACAAAATTCACGCTAATTTCTAACCCAATTAAAAGAGAATGAACCAACCCAATGGATGCTAGTTAAAAGTTGTTGTTTGAAACTATGAAGTAGGAGAGGAGGGTAAAGATTGGGATTTCCTATAAGATTCTCTGCCTCTCCCAACTCATCGAAACAAGTACTAAGGTGGGAATCTTTTTCATGTTGCCAGCAAACAAGGGTGGTTGCGGCATGCTCATTAATGTCAGAAACAAACAACACTCCTGCATTCACTTCCTAAAGCCTGCTATAGACAACAACACTCGGGGAAGCCCTTCAGAATTGTGACCCAGGCCCAGCTTTTCACAAAAATATATACATTAAAAAACAAATATGAAAGGCCAAATATGATTCTTTTTTTCTTTTTAGTATTTACCATTGCATAGTGCACGAAGTCCAATTATTGAAGCCACTAATGTGGTGCCAGCAAGCATTTCAATGCATGTGACTTTGTATGGATAGTTTCTATGCACATTTCCAACGAGAAAATGAACTATGAAGGGCAATTTTAATGAGATTTTGGACCTCCCAAATATGGATATGAGTAAAACATTTATATAAAATTTAATTCTAGTGTTACAAAATGGAAATTCAGGAATCAGATAACCAAGTTTAAAACCAAGGTAAATAGGATGACTTGTGGATCACCCATCCATGATGAACTTGATGAACTTATGTTGCTATCGTGCCAAGATGGCTTTATCTCTGAAGGGCCTTCAAGTGGTCCATCAGCAAAAGAATTGCCATTTATCTGTCTCATGTTCAAACAAGAGGGAATTTCCAAGTATGAAGAGAGGTTCTTCCTGTTTGGCTGATCACTGATGCAGAGCTCACTGTTTCCTCTTAAATCCAACCTTTTACCTAACTTTCCAATGAAATCATCAGGGAGCTGTAGAACACCACTCAGCCTATTGTGGCTGATATTCAGTTGGTCTAAGTTTGGGAGTGAACTCAAATATGGTGGAACTGGCCCACTGAGGCTATTATTACCTAGGGAGAGAGCTGTAAGGTTCTTTAAGGAAGAGAGAGAGTTGGGTATGGGGCCATTGAATCCACACCCTGATAAGCTCACATATTTGAGCTTCCTGAGCTTCCCTATGAACTGGGGTATCTCTCCTTTAATGGGGTTGTCATCAATGAGTAAATATTCTAAATGTTCCAAACTTGACAGGCTTTCATGAATAGTCCCAACAATGAAATTTTGACTCAAATCAAGCAAGACTAACCTCTTGAGATTTCCTAAAGTAGGAGGTATTTTTCCAATAAGCTTGTTAGAATGTAAATCCATCTTCTGGAGAAGTTGAAGTTGTCCAAGAGAATAAGGCAGAATCCCTTCAATTATATTGCAACTGAGGTCCAAAATTGTCATGCTTTTCAGACCTCCAATTTCCTTGGGGATTTGACCACTTAAGTTGTTATAACTAAGGTCAAGTTGCTCTAGACAAACCAAACCACCAATTTGGCTTGGGATGTTTCCTTGTAAGCTGTTTTGGGACAGGCTCAGGACCCTAAGACTAGCAACATCTCCCAAACTTGGAGGTATTTCTCCAGAGAGGGTTGGATTAGATTCCAAAGCAAGGTGTTCTAAGGAAGAGAAAGGACCAAAGAGAGTTTTGGGTAGAGTGACTGGAGAAGCAACAAAACAGTTAAAAATTGAAAGGGTTTTCATATAATTGAGTTTTAACAAGGACTCTGGTAGGTAAGCAGAGGGTTTACAAGGTGGGGAGAGAATATCAGGACCAATGTGGATCTTTGTGACATGAAAGATTGGTGTGTCATTGTCACTGCTAACTTCACATTCAACACCTGGCCATGGAGTGTCTGTACATGGCTGTGGATGTGCTTGGGCCCAGTCAGGGTCTTCCAGAATAGCATCCATCACTTCAAACAATGCCAACAATTCCTCCTCTTCCATTTTCATGTGCCCCTTATGTAAGTTGCTTCCTATTGACATCATTTCACCCTCAAATACAAGGAACCAAACAAGAAGAAAAGACAGATAAGCCATTTGAGACACTGCCTACTAGCTACTAGAAGCTTAAGAGCTCAAATAACCCACAAATGGAATTGCAAAAAATGTGGATTTGGAGCCAGCTGAAAAGGCCTAGTTCTTCTTTCTCTATATAAGCTTTGTTGAATGGTATTGTTGATGGCAAAGGAGAAGAATGAAAAGGTAACTCAAGACATCTTATTTTTGTATCAGCTGTGAAGGCTGCAAAGGAAAAACCAAAGGTGGCATCTTTTCTGCCAAAAATTTTTGTTGACTGTGAGGGTGACAGTGTTAGTTTGCATGGAAAAGGGTGTGAGATGGGAAGACAAATGGACTACCATAAAGGGCAATGTAATTTGCCAGAACAGTCAAATTGCTAATTCAGAAAAAATGTTGCAACGATAAGACATGGCAGTGTGAGCCTGGGATAAAGTAATGAAGCCGACCATACAGTGATGATCAACAAAGATATACCTTTTTCACCTATATCCATGAACTCTTCCATCCTTTCTTTCACTTCACATACCCAATTTGATTGGCAGTATTATTAACTAGTCTATTATATATGCTTTCCTTTACTGGTGTACTATGAAACATTGCTTCCATTCTTTCACAATTCATATTTTACCCGTTTTATTTATTATAACTTCCTGAAAATGAATCTAACTAGTACTCAGCATCATGTGTTACTCTTTGTCTCTCTTTTTTCTTTTTCTTTTTAATTTCTTGTTATTTGAATGCTTGCTATGTGTATGCTATCCGATTAAGAATTTTGAAATGTTGATGCTTCTTTTGTAGAATTTATAATGTATAACGATAACAAGAGGAAAAAAAGATGTTTGATATAAGTGGTGATTAATGATTAAAGTGATGTTGATGATATATTACTACTTGTTAACTGCAATATATATATATATATCCATATCACTTTGTTCCTAGTTCATTGCCTATGACAGGTGAAATACAAAATTTGAGCCCACACCCCTCGGAGTTTCAAATAACATTCCCCTAACCAGTTCCTTGAGCTAAACCATTAACATTGTCCATATTATATAATGACAAAGTGGTGGCAGTAAAATATTCCCCATATTTTGTGAAAGTGTGCAGGGCCTGCACAAGTTCAGTTTGACCAAAATGAAGACAGAGTCATCGGATTCAAAAGCTCCAAAACTAAAATTAAGGGGGAGGTTTTATGCCCATAGAGGCGAGGTTGCCACTATAGGCTCTGTAGTTTTTAAGTAATTTTTAAAATTTGGATCTAGGTTTTGCATTTTACAAGAATATATATGTTAAAACTTAAAAGGGTGGAGCTCTAGAACTGAGGAGCTTGTTAGCTCCTAGTAATTAAGATTTTATTTGATTTAAAGTATTTGGTTATGATAAAATGTCTGGCAAAGAATAACATTGTTTTTATATAAAGGATCTCTAGCATATATAGGATTATCGGTGTAAATAGGTTAAGCTAGGTTTTGACTTAAGTAGTCTAAGTATGTATAAAATATTTTAGGTCTAGCTTGACTTGTTAGCCTTATATAAGCTCAAATTATAAGTCTGATTTGACTTATATTTAAAAAATAAAAGTTTTGGCATAGGCTTATTAGCTTGTTTAAACCTATTAAACATTTAATAATTAAAAAATTAAAATAATAATATTTTATTATTCAAAAATATTAAAATAATAATTTTATTTATTTTATTTAAAATAAATAATATAACATAGGCTGGACTGTAAGCTCATAGGCCCGGTATGTAAAAGAAAGTGTATGACCTATTTTTTAAATAGGTTTTTTTAAAAGTTTTGGTCTGCTCTATTTGACTATATTTAATAGGCTCAGTCTGATCTGATGTAGGTTAGACCGTAAGTCCTTATAGACTAGCATAACTCATTTACGGATAAATTGGTGCATATTATTAATTATGTGTTACTTGCACTTAATATTATTTAAAAAACCATGAATTTACAATTAACAAATAATATTATTAATAGGATTGCAAATAAAAAATATATAATTTACTCATATTTGGTTAACATCCTAGATTTTAGCTGCATGCTCATAAGATATTTAAACTTTGGGAAAAAAAGTATCTAATGTTATTTTCGATAATTTTGTCTAATGTTCATCGAAACAACATCATTTTGTAATTAAAAAATTAGAATAATAAAGACTATTATAACACTGAAATAGATTAAAATTATAAATACACTATGATTTCCGTCCCAAAATAACGTAGTTTGGGTAAATATTAGATAAAGTTGTCTAAAGTAACTTTAGAAAAAATGAACCGTTAAACTTTTACTTATTTATCCTTTTGTAAATCAATAATAATTTATTTTATTCATTTAAAATAATATTTATTTAAAGTTTTTACAAGATACTATTTTTTAATATTTATCTTTGATTAAATTAACCCTTAATTATTCTATAAAATTTTCTCATTGCATTTAGTGAAAGTTTTTTCTCACGGGCTATCCATCCACCTCACTAGTTATTGCAATTGGCATGAGAGAAAGATAAAACGATATATTTGTAATTATTGGAAACCAATAATTTGGCACCCAAATCAAATATAAGTTGCATTCGACTCATTTGGAAATAATAATTACATGAAGCATGATGTTCCAAAGAAATAGCTCTCTTTTACCTTTGCTATTTGCTTAAATGTTGTATTTGTTTTAGTTATGTTGCGTTTTGCTATACAAATGTTTTGTATCGTCACTAAAGAGCTCAGTCATATCTTTTCCTACTCCCTAATTTTTTTTTTCTCTTGTCTATTTATTTTTGAATTTGTGTATCTTTTTTTTCTATTTTTAATTAATTTAATTGAATCCCATAATCATGAGAATCTGACTTGTTGGAATCTAGAAACACTACGAGCCTATTTGTCATTTTTTTTTAAATTAAAAGTTACTTTTAAGCTAAATTTTAAAAAATAAGAGCTTAAAATTAAAATTAAAAGTTATTTGATGATTATATAAAATTATGCTGATATTTTTTAAAATATGAAGATAGAATAATTTGTTATAGGATAGATTATCAGGATAAAGTCTAAAATTTATAAATACAAGTTTAGAATAAAGCATTAATGTCTCCTACACACATAAAAGTGTATGTTGTAACGCACGGCCGCTTGAAGAATCAATGACTATTGTTCACATACTAACACAAGACTTTTCAGTGTGCTTTTTCCTCACTCGTACATTTCCTGAGAAAACTTTTCAGGAGGTCACCCATCCCAGAATTGCTCCAAGTCAAGCGCGCTTAACTGTGGAGTTCTTCCGTTCCCGAAAAGCAGATGCATCTTGTTAGTATATGTAGTATCAATTAATTCTTATAAGCTAATCTCAAACTGTGCAGTCTCATACCTGCACAGTCTTTGGAATCTCTCTCTTTCGAGTGTCGATTCGATTCATTCATGCATGTAGCCCCCTGCTGAGCCGCTCCTTGTCCATGCCTCTTTGCACCGGCGATCACTCCCCGCCCTCGTCAGCGCTCGGGATGTTACATATGTGGCTCATGTTAGGCCACATGAAAAGAGAAGATAAAAAAGAAAAATACGAGCCTCACACATCTTCTTGGAAGCTTCTAGTTTTTAGCTTTTTCCTTTATTATAAAAAAAAAACTCTTTTATAATAAGAGCTTTTATAAAAGTATATTTTTGCTAAATTTCTACTTTCAAGGCGGAAAAAATGAGACATGTCAAACCGACATTATATATGTATGTATAACAAATGAGAAATATTATATATGTAGAGGGAAAAATATTTTTGTTTTTGTTTTTTTGTGTACATTAAAGTGAGTGTGTCTTATTATAAAGAGAAGAGAGAGAAAAGATTAATAAAAACATTTTTTTTTATATGAATGTGGTAGAAAAAAAATTTATAGGGCAGAAACATTAAACTCATATGTAGCTGGGCCACGAAATTTATAAATAAGTACAGGTCAATTATTAGAAAGGCTAGAGATAGAAGCTTTGATGTTCATGTAATGAGCCCACAGTTTGCAAAGTAGAAGCCCATGATTAGTGGCCCACAGATGCACTTAAAAGGAACAGAGAAAAGTTATGGGCCCGTGTACAAATTAAGAAACCTTGGACCGAAATTTGACTTTGGCCTGCTAACCTGAACTGCCACGTTTAAAAAGAAGCGGATTATCATTAGTCGAACCTTCAGTTCGTATTAGCTGTGATTTGAGTTTAATTTTTTTATTTTTCCTATTCAATAAATGATATATAATTTCACTATAAATCCTCTTTCCTAATTTCGCATAGGGGTGTGTCTCCCATGATCTAAACATTTTCTCAAAAAAAAAAAAAAAAACTACATGCTTACAACGAATGGAATAAATTGCACAAGAAAAAAGAGAGAAAGAGTAGTGGCAACGAGTAAGGTGGTAGGGCTAAGGATTTATACTAAGGCGATGCAATGTTGAAAAAAATAAGCATAAATTATTATTAGATCATTATCTTCCTGTTTATAAATGTTTAATGTTTGTTGGTCCATGATTTGATCCTTGGTCCAAGCAATTTTGGAATTCTTCGAGAGCCAGATGGGAAAAGGCTCCACCTTGACGGGAGATTAGTTTTATTCTTGATCCGATAGCGTAGTCCAATGTACCTGTTGTATCAATAAGGAGGTAGTCTTTGAAGCCTTACTCTGAAACCAAGGTGGAAAAGGTTCGGCAAAAAAATTAATTTATTGCTTTTTTAATAAAAAAAATTACGAATATGTAATCGTTTTAAAAATAATTACAAAACTATTGCACTCAAACACGCCCACATGTTCCCATGGAGAGAGAGACACTCATGTGGGGCGTGACCTTCTGGCAGAACATGCCCAAGATGGGCGTGACCAGGAGAGAGACACGCCCAACAGGGGTGTGACTTCCCTGGTCTATTAATGGCTCATTTTTCACATTTTTCTCATTTCATCCTTCACTTCCTCTCTCTAAACCACTCCTCCAACTTCTCTCTACATTTCTTCTGGAGCGTTTTGCGCAGCGAAGCCCTGTCTCTTTTTCAAGTAAGTCCGTATTTATTGTTTATCTTTTTTATTAACAACAATAAATATATGATAGTTATTAGTGACTTAGATAATTGTTAGTAGCTTAGAAAAATATTAGTGACCTATGTAAGAGAATGATTAGTGACTTAGAAATTAGATAGGGACTTAGAAATTAGTTAGTTACTTATAAATTGGTATATGCTGGTGATAGGAATTAGTTACACACTTAGAAATTAGTTTGAGACAATTAATAATTTCATATGAATAACACTTGCAAACATATTGACCTTTCAATTAACTACGTTGTAATTAAAGTTTGTAAAAAAAATAATAGAGTATGCAATATTAATTTAAATTGAATTTAAATTAATTAATCTATTTAAATATAAATTAGAATAATGTAATGTTCTTTAATGTATTTATTTTTATGTTAATTTAATTGAAATTAATATAACTTAATTTAATTCAATTCAATTAAATGCTATATTTAATTAAGTGCAATTAAATTTCATTTAGAGTAATTTATTATATTATCAATAGTCATTTGTGTATAATTTTTTCATTTGTACTAGTATTCTATTATAGCCCATTCGTCTTCTTCGGAGTCGCCGCGCTCTGGATACGATGGTGATTAGAGCTGGCAAAATGGGCCGAGCCCGCCGGGCCGGCCCGCCCCGCCCGCCAAACGGGGCGTGGCGGACTGAGTTTTCTAAACCCGCTGCCCGCCAAGCCCGCCCGGGCTGATTTTTTTTATTTTTAGTGTAAAATGTGACGGACTTGGCGGGCAGCCCGCCCCGCCCGCCCAAACGGAACGGGGCGGGCAGAGATATCTAGCCCACCTTCAATGGCGGGGCGGGGCGGGCCAGCCCGCTTTTTGGCGGGCAGGAGCGGGCAGCCCGCTTTGCCACCTCTAATGGTGATGCTGAGTCATCCGATCCTTGTACGCATGTACTTCCTGGACCCTATAGGTGGGAGGTACTTCGCAAGAGAACACAACGCACTCACGTTTCACAACTTGTGTGGAACGAGGATAAGGTCAGGGGGTTAAAAATGAGGCGAGGGAAACTTCAGGGGGACCCCGTCATGACTCTATACAGACATCGCCTGCTTGTACTACGTAATAATAATAATAAAATTGAATTATTTTATTAAGCAAAAATCGCAGCAAGAAAACATGAATAGTTGTTACAAAGCATACATTCATGATGTTCTGGTACTTGACTCGATGTTGTGTCATGATGTACTACGATACGAGACTCCCCCAAATCATGCCATGGTTGAAGTTAAGTACCCGACCTGCCACATTATTCGTCATTGACCGATTCACTCGCGTCCTCTACAAGAAGACGATCCTCCATTGCAATATTTTCCTCATCATCTTCCTCATAGTCCTCATCCATAACCCAGGTAAGGTCATGTTCATCTTCCTCATACATGTTAACAGCTGGAGCATCAGATGAGGATGCATTAAGAGGAGAAGTAGAAGTAACTGACCTCATTGGTATCACAACATCCTCCGCAATGACAATATCCACATACAACTCTAGGAAATCCTTTCTAGATTGGTTCAAGAACTCTTCCATTACCATATCGATGTCTTCGTCATCGACCACTTGCAAACTAATGTATTGTTCACATTGTCATAATCTTGTTATGACTAGAGTGATCGATTGGTTGTCTTGAAGACATAATTTTTGGCGTATTTTATGATGCAGCTTCGCAACCGTTGAGTTCCGTTTAATACGTGATGGCCTTTTCTCCCCTACAAAAACAACACCACGACAACCTTCCTCTTTCCTACCGTTAAAATATAGAACAACACGAATAATATCAGAATTCGAACTCATTCTTAAAATTAAAAAATAAACAAGTGCAAAAAAATGTGAGAGTTTAAGAATAACGAGGGAGAAGAAGAGTTGTGAAGAGTGTGTAGAGGGGTGAGAGTTTAAATAGACTACATCTAGGTTACTCACGCCTAGAATGGGCAAGACCTTCCTCTGGAACACGCCCTAGCTGGGCGTGTCTTCCTCATAGGTCACGCCCCTAATGGGCGTGTCTTTTTCCTATGGGTCACGCTCCATTTGGGCGTGTTATGCCAGTAGGTCACGCCCCACGTGAGCGTGTCTCTCTCCATGGGAAACGCCCCGTGTGGGCGTGTTTGAGTGCAATAGTTTCGTAATTATTGGGTCAAATTTAACGGGCCAAATTTATTATTAATTAATTAATAATTTTGATCCAATAAATTATAACAGTTGATGGACGAAAATCAACGGTTAGGATCTAAAATAATATAAGTTTATATCCTTTAAGATGACAGATGTTATTCCCTTCGTTTTTACCTAGAAACTCGATTTTCACTACATTATTGCCAATCCTATATTTAATTATAAAAAACATAACAGAACAGAAAGAAGATGGAATGCATGAATATTTTTAATCTTAAATTTAGTTTTTTATGCTATGTAGGCGTGTTTTTAAGCGAACCAGAAAAAAAAAGAAATGAAAGAACGTGGTGGAAAGGAAAGGACAGACGGAGAAGAAAAGGGTTTTTTTTTTTTTTTTGGTAATCAAGAAAAGGAAATTTAATTCTTTGTATTTGTGTTTATATTATATATTATTTTAATATTTTTTTGGAAACAACTTACATTTACTAATACTAGAAGAAAAATAAACGTTGCATTTAATAGAAGAATTATTGTTATAAATTATAACACAAAAGAAGAAGAATTTTATATATATAAAAAAAAGAATAATTTCTTTTTTGATTTTTTTATGACGATAAGATTTCTCATCTTACTTCAAATAATTTGTCTGATATAACATACAAAAAAATAATGAGACTCATCAAGAAAAATAAAAAATAAATGAGTTTCATATGCTTTTTTTACATACTGCACGAAACAAATGAATTCATGCAATATAAGAATAAATTGATTCATGTATATGAGATAATATTATTTTTTAAAAAGAATTATTTTTGTCAATCTTTTTAATTATTTCTTTTTTAAAAGTAAAATATACATTAATGCAAAATAATTTCTTCCATCGTACACAATGTCATAATAATTATTACTTTTTATACCAAAAAAATTACAATAATAATTTATTAGAATTTAATTATTCAAAATAATTTAAAAGAAAGAAAAAAACGCGAAATAGTATAAATAAAAAAACGGAAAACCTGTGTTGCTATCAGACATTCAGACTTGACCCCCTTTCCTCTCCACTCTCTGTGTATCAAGAATTAGGGTTTTAAGTGTCCTCTTGTTAATATTCAGGTATATTCAAAATCTTGAGATTGACATGTCCATCTTAAATCCGCATTCTTCTCCTTCTGCATTAACTCTTAGTTGAAGCGTTAAAGAAAAAGATTTTATTTTCTTTATTATTATTAGTTTCCCTTTTTTCCTTTGAGTGAAAATATAGCTTCATTTGATAAAGGGACCGTTTTGTTAGAATCATCCTTGTTTCAATTTGGCTGCGTTAATGTTACTGTTGTGATAAGTAATAGCTTTAGAAGTGAGTTTATGTAGGTGTGATATTTCAATAGCTAGATTTAACAACAGAAAATGGCTAAAGTTTGTAGAGTTTTATATCTTGATTTAAGCTTTTTAATTTTGACTGAAGATAAGGGCATGAGGGAGGGAGGGTGGTCACAGAGATAGACAAACAAAAAACATGTTTTGCTCTGGTTATATATGTATGTGTCTGAAAACATGTTTTGCTTTCAGGAGTTGTGCTGATATTTTGGAAAATGAGGGAGACTGGAAAACGATATCATTCACAGAGAGACCATGATGGGAGCAGAAAAAATCAGAAGCGATGGGTGAATGACAAAGATGAAAAGGGCAATGATGAATTGATTGTTTATAGGATACTCTGTCCAGATGAACTTATTGGGAGTGTTATTGGTAAGAATGGGAAGGTGATAAATTCCATAAGGCACGAGACCAGGGCAAAGGTCAAGGTTGTGGATCCATATCCTGGTGCCAAGGATCGGGTTATAACAATCTACTGCTACGTTAAGGATAAGGAAGAAGTTGAGATTGATGATGAGTTCGATGGTAAGGAACCTCTATGTGCTGCCCAAGATGCTCTTCTCAAGGTTCATGTTGCCATTATGAATTCCATGGGAACTGTTGGAGATTCTGAGAAAAAACGTAAGGGTAAGGATGAATGTCAAATCCTTGTTCCATCAAGCCAGTCTGCAAATATCATTGGTAAGGCTGGGGCTAACATTAAAAAGCTGAGAAGTAAGACAAGGGCAAATATCAAGGTTACTGCCAAGGATACAGCTGACCCAACACACTCATGTGCTATGGAGTTTGATAATTTTGTCTTGGTTAGTATATTCAATATTATGAAACTTACTATTGAATGATTTATTGCATAGGTTCATAATCACTTTTCTGATTAAATACTAGCATCTAACCTCATACAAACATATGCCAATAATAATTTATTGTAGTGGTAATGTAATGATGATCTTAATGGCATAAAAGGCTGAACAATTTGTCTCTCTATTTGTAAACATTTAGCATAATCATGTTTGTGATTTTTTGCTGACTGTATGTGTGCATTTTTATTTTCTCACACTAGTGTGCAACTATACATCTCGTTGTGTCATCAGTAAACTATGCAGTATGCAACATAATATCAATATCATATGTATGTCTCGTGCATGTATCCCTTACTGAATACTTCTTCCTTAGAAAATAATCACTGCAATGACAAGCTGTGGCTTCCATTGTTGAAATATACACTTTGTCTGACAGAAGTAAAGAACTGCTCTATGGTTGTTGAGACAGTAAGTAAAACTGAAACCCCAAACAGGTTTTTTAAGCAAGTAGGGTTGAAGTTTCTCTCCTCTCTATCCGTTCCTAAAATTCTCTACTCAAACATTAACATTTAAGCTCCATGCTGTCACATGTGTATTGCATAGATGGCTGGTTGTCATATTTTTCTTGCTAGGTATATATCGAATGATGGAAAGTAACAAATAAACTAAAATTCAACTACATATAGTGATCCTAGTGGAATCATTTTTTCCAGTCATGAATGATATAATAAAATAATAGAAATTTTAACTATATAACATATTGGATAAAACTAGGAACCTTAGTCCCTTATGGGCTTTAATGCTTAAATGTAAAGAACCAATTCAACCCAAAAGCTCATGCTTAAGAAATATAAAACATTAATGTAACCTCACTCATCAGTTGGGATTTAATGTGGAGTGGTTCTTTACATTACATGAATGATGAAAAATTTATGAGAAATACTTGAAAGACCAAACCACTCCACATTAAATCCCAACTAGCGAAGGTAGGGGTGAGGCCAATATTTGTACGTAGCCTTACCTTTGATTTTTAAATTTTTTAAGAATACGATATTACTTCTGCTTTATTCACTACCATTGGAGAATGCCATCATATCTATATTTATGCTATATATTTGCTTTATAGTGAAAATTCAGTCACTGCAATTGGTAGCTAATGGAGGCTCTGATGCAAACATACATTTCTGCTCTGATTGTGAACCCTACTCTGTGGACCATCCTAAAGCCATTCGTATAATGGTAGAATAAAAAATTTGTTTGGATGCTGTAGCACTTGTTTTGCTTAAATATAACTCTATATCATATTTAATGACTATATCCATTTGAATTGTAAATACATTTTTCGTACATCTAGTTTCTTAGAAATTTCTGCAATTTCTATATCTTTTATCATATTTTTGCAAGGATTTTTTTCGCTTGTTAAAACAAGTTCACAGTAAACTTTTATCTTACTATATTCTTTCTTTCATTGTGAGTAGATCACTGGTGAATCGGAAGCAGTTAAAAGAGCACTATTTGCAGTTTCTACTATTATGTACAAGTTCAGTCCCAAGGAGGACATCTCTCTTGACACAACTGTACCAGAAGGCCCACCCAGTATTATCATTCCCTCTGAAGTTCCAATTTATCCATCTGGTGGATTATATCCAGCTTCAGATCCTATTATCCCACCGAGATCTGTTCCTCAAATTATAGGTGCTACAAACATGCAAGATCTTCAAGGTTATGCAGATGCAACAAATACATGGCCTCTGTACTCATCCGCCCTTCCAGTAGTTTCTGATGTTGGTGCTTCCCAGTCTGAGGAGTTAATTGTTAGAATGTTGTGCCCCTCTGACAGGATTGGGCGTGTCATTGGGAAGGGAGGGAGTACAATAAAAAGTATGAGGCAGGCAAGTGGTGCTCGTATTGAGATTGATGATTCCAAGGCTAATCATGATGAGTGTTTAATCATTATAACTACAACAGAGGTGCACTATCTTGGCTTCTTCCATTTTTTCCTATAAAATAGAATTTCTCATTCAATATTTGAGTAATTTGTGAGGTGACAGTCAAGTATACAGTTTCTTCACCACTTTGGTGCTAGGAAGTAGCTCCCCCCGCCCCCCTCTCCCTCCCCAAGTCATAAATGGTTATTATACAGCCAGTACAGGTGTACAAGTAAATGATCTTAGCACCCTATTTTTGTTTGACTTAAAAACTTCTACAAATGGTTGAATTTCATGATCAATTTTATACTTGATTTACTAGTTGGTGGATTGTGTTGTTCCCATTTTCTCCGTACTATGCGTGTAACTATCCTTTTGCTGATATATATTGATAATGTAATCTTATTTTATCATAAAATGGAAAATGATCATGTGGATATGTATTTTGTAGTCGTCAAGTGATCTAAAGTCCATGGCAGTTGAAACTGTTCTGCTAATTCAAGGGAGGATAAATGATGAAGATGATGCCATGGTTTCAATCCGACTTCTAGTTCCATCCAAAGTGATAGGTTGTATTATTGGTAAAAGTGGTTCAATCATAAATGAAATACGGAAGAGAACTAAGGCAGATATTCGAATCTCTAAAGGCGATAAGCCAAAATGTGCAGATGTGAATGAGGAACTCGTTGAGGTTTGACTTTTTGCTTCATCACTTGTTTAATTAGTATATTTATTTGCAATACTATTTGTTACGAAATCTTTTGTATGAAAGCTGTTATGAATCTCTAATGACAAATTATGGTTGGGGAAATGAAAAAGCATAAAAGTAAATAGGTAACTGATAAAGCGCAACAAACTTATTTTCACTTTTCTTCATTTGCGAGTCGTTTTTTTTCATGTTTATTTTATTCAATGTTCTTTTGGATTTAGGTGGGTGGCGCTGTTGATTATGTAAGAGATGCACTAATCCAGATCATCTTAAGACTCAGAGATGACGTATTGAGGGAAAGGGATACTGGCCATAATCCTTCTATAAGTGCTGAATCTTTGTACTCAGGTGGTGCTGGTCTTTCGTTGTCATCTGTGCTGCCTTCAGTTCCTTCTGTTGCTGCTCCACTGGTTTATGATCAGAGGGCTGAAAGTGGAAGTGGCTTTGGGATGCTTTCTCCAAGCAGCCTGTATGGATATGGATCTTTGTCGGTATGTCTCCTTTTTTCTTGCCATATGGTCATATTGTAACTAGTCCTTACATTGTGATAATTTATTTTTTGTTGGTATATCATGATTTATTTTTATATCTTATTGGTGTTGGTTCTGATTTGAAGTTCTAGGATTATTCAATATATGATATATGGAGAAAAATATTAATTTTTATTTTTCCTATTTCATGTTAAATTTCTTTAAGTGTTTAGTTGTTTAGAGATGTACTCTTATGTCTTATCTCCCTATAATATAAGAAAATGATGATTTTTTTCTTACTCTTCATTATGTATAATTTTTTTTATAAATAAGAGATAAAAGGAAATCAGTTCCTAGGCTACACCATAAACTGTTTTTAGTAAGTATTAGCATAGCCTTTAGCCTGTGTATCACTGTTTTTGTATAACTGTTTTACAGTTCTTATTGTACTTCTGGATCTACTGAATCATCTTCTAGATTCTGTTTCTGATCAGATAGTTAGTTAGATTGTAGTTAGCATCTGACTCAGATCTGAGTCAGACTTCAGCTGAAATAGTGTAATCAATCATATGAAAGTTATGGAGTCTTTTCTCATTTTCTCTCCCTTTCTCACCAAACTCTGATATTAAGAATGTATGATAGAAAATTTCAATTAGAGAACTTTTATTTTTGTGTTTTAGTTTGTTTTGGAGGATCCCTTTTCCTTTTATTTCCTGGTAGTTTCTTTTCACTCTTCATCTTAATGGTTTTTATTTTCTTTTTCATAAAAAAATACTTCTAGAGTAGAAAACAAGTTATTATATGAGAATGTATTCTTTTCTTAAGAGGTGTTTTCTTGAATATTTTGACAGAAGAATTATTTACCATAAAGTTACATATTTCTCATCAAGTGATCATTCATTTTTTTTTTCTAATAAAAGAAGAAATTTATTAAGACGAAGAGAAAAATTACTCTGACAAAGGAGGGTAAGGAATCTCCCTAGACAAAAAGCTAAACAGAAGACAGCCAAGGAAAAAGAGAGAATCGATGTAACAAAACTTCCCAGTCCCTCAACATATATCTTTTGGGAACACAATTATTAATATTGCAAATTGCTTTAGTATACTATATGTTCAAATTATAGGGATTAGGTAGTAAAAGAGGAATAGAGATTAGTGATACTCTAAATAAGATACAATTAGATTGAATGAGAGGTGTTATAATAAAGCACTAACACCTATTTATACCAATAATTAGGCTAACTGATCAAGTACTAGTGTAGTCCTCTACTTGTACAAGCCTAGCCCAATAAGACTACTAACAACATGAGACTCCTAACATAATTTTAGGAAAAGGATGTTTTCACAGCTTTAACATATATTTAAGAAGCCGAAATTTTATAACTACGCAAATTTAAATTGTATCAGATGGCTCCTTAGTTGTGTGCTTGTATGATATATCTTCTATTCTTTCCTTGGGGCCGTTTGGGTTTGAATAAAGTTTTTATGAAGTGGATGAAATGGTGAACATTGATGGGTCATGGATTTCTTATTTCTTTTACTTTTATTTTTGGGTGGAGGGAGTGTGGGGATTGTGGAGATGAGTTCATAGAGCTATTCCTTTTTTTTTTTTTCAGTACATCCTTCCCTCCACTTCAGCTCGGAGCATCTCTCTTTTTCTATTACAAATGGCTAATAAACTGCATCCAGCCTTCATTTTCTTTCTTCTTTTGTTACATGTCTACATTCCGTTTTTAGTTTCAAATTTTTTGTCACTGATCTCTTCTTTTGTTTGATTCTATGTAACAGATGGGGGAAAATGGCTATGGATCTGCATCTTCATATGCCAACAAGCTGTATGGAGGGTTAGTATATATTTTTATAAAAATCATGTGAAATACTTTACAACTGATTTAATGTTTGTTTGGGTTGGAGTTTGCAAAATTGATGTTGGATGAACTTAATTTTGGTAAAGTGGGTTTGCAGTGAAGTGATTTATGGTTGGACACCTATATCTTAAAAATGATAATTTTGGTCATAAGCATTTCCAATCCAATGTAGAAGCAACTCTCTCACTTCCTCTCAAAGTATGGTTTGTGAATAAAATTCCATTAGGCATTCCCCAACTAGAATTTTGCCAAACATGTTGATTTGAGGATGAAACGTTGTTTGCACATTCTAAATGAGGGTTTGAGCCCAACTAAACATTCTCTAAATCCCCTTTGTTTTCTTTTCTTAACCTTATATTAATTTGGTTATTGGTAATTGAACTTATGTTATTGTACTTTCATTGTGAACAGTTTTCCTCCTTCATCAACTCTGGATATGTTGATTCCTGCTAATGCTGTTGGTAAAGTCTTGGGTAAAGGAGGCGCAAATATAGGCAATATCAGAAAGGTTGGTTCCCCCATTCCGAATTTTTTATTCTTTATTCTATTGTAAGGGGAACTAATTTGTGGTTTGGAAGTTATCTGTTGTTTTTACTTATCTTAAAATTAATGCAAAGTGAGGGCGAGCCTTGGAGCAATGGCAAGGTTGCGCCGGTCACAAAACGTAAGGGTAAGACTGCGTATAATTGACTCACACCCCTACCTTTGCAAAGTTGGGGAGCCTTGTGCAATGAGGTTTGCCCTTTAAAATTGATGCAAGGTTTGGTTCCTGCTTCTGTATGTTACTGTCCCTGTATGCTTTTCAATTGTAATGAACTGAACTGAAAAGAATTGCTAATCTGAAAACTTTAATATCATATCATGTAAGGAGGCCAAAAGAGTCTTAGCTGAGAAAAGCAGATCAAATAGAAGATAATCTGATTAAAAGGGTGGAGTCTAAATTGTTTTACTTAAAAGTTTGGCTGTTGATAGAGACCCCATGGTGTTGATTTATCCATGTAGCCAACTCACCTACTAGGATAAGGCTATGTGGTTGTTGATATCTCAAATTCAATTCTTGGTGGTGAGTATTTTTTGATTGCTCGCTTAATTACATTGTATCTTTTCAGTCCAGTTATTCGTAGGAAGGTAAAAGAGGGATATCTGATTTTCATATCAGGTGATTTATCTTGGATGGAAACAATTTGTGATGAAACTAATTAGAAAAAATAGGTTAAGGACTTCCCTCTTCTTTGATCAGTTATGTTTTTAAGTTTTTCACATTTGTTAGACCATAGTGCTATTTTCCCAGATGTCATCTAATGATATCCTTCCATCCAAACTATTTTGTGAAATGTTTTCTTTTGCTTATGCTCTTTTATTCATGACACAAAATAAAGGTTGTATATATACTTGTTCTGTTTGATATCAAGGGCTAGAGTACATGGCATAATCAAGTTTATTCAACTTTGGCTTATCATGAAATACCAATTTCTTTATACTCTCATACCCTAATACATGTGCATAAAATAATGCAAAATTCGCTTCATTTGTTGTCTACTTAATGCCTTGTTTCACACCAGATTTCAGGAGCAATGATAGAGATTTCTGACTCCAAATATGCCCGTGGTGATCGTATTGCCATGATATCTGGCACACCTGAACAGAAGCGTGCAGCTGAAAACTTGATCCAGGCATTTATAATGGCCACCTGAATTATTTAAATTTTTTCTGGGGGTTTTGAAGGTGAAAAGTTTAATTCTTGAAGCGTATCTTTGTTCCTCTCCTTAGTTCCTTTGAGTTGGTCCTGGAGAGAGAATATTCTATAGGGTTCTTCAACTTGACTCCTGCTTCTTCCATAGAAGTGGCTAACAAGATTGTGCTTGAGGGATCCATTGCTGGTTTTGTATGTAGGAATTATAGTTCCTTTCCTTTTTCTTCCCTCAATCTACTCTCATCTGTGTTTTGTCATAGAATTGTTGGATCTCTCTGTCCTTTCTTAATGTTTGTCTTTGGCTAGTTGGAGTCATCTCTATCTCCATCAATTATTTTCAGAGCAACCATAAAGCAATGTTTATTTTGTTTCTGGTGATTCACATTTCACACTCTTATTCACCTTTCTTGCTTAAAGTATCTACCCTAAAGATGCAAATGAGATGTTGAGTCTCTAGTATTCTCCACTTTATGGTATCCTTGATTATCCAAGTAATTTGGTCATAAGTGGGAAAGTTGCCTCATTAATTTGAAAGATTTCAGAAAACTCTGGATCATCTTCTTCCCTCTGATCTATTTCCATATCTTGTAATCCTGTCATACATGAGGGCATTTGCAACTAGATATAACCATCTCGTTATTATCGCACCAAATGTGATTCATTATATATGTAGAAAAATGCTAGAAGCCAGATTTCATTTGTTGAATAAAAGAAATTCATTAAGACAAAGAGAAGATAAATACAAAGAAGTAGGAGGATATGATTTCCTCCTCCTTAGGCGTATAAAGAAAATTTTGAACATCAAAGAACAAAGAAAAGCATCAATGACTTTTGGATGGATGAGTGGTAGGTCTTATCCAAAGATCACCCTTTTATGCAAGAGAATTCTTGCAATTTTTGTGGCTGTGTAGCACTAATCATACCTATTACCTGAAAAGCCTCTGGGATTCATTTCATAGAAGTTGTGTATGTGCTTTTCACTTATCTGTCTTGCGATGGATGCCATTCGCAAGGAAATACTTGCTAGCTGCTACAATATTTCGGGGTAAGACCACGAGGTGTCTCCACACCCCGTGGTTTCTAGCTGTTGCATTTTATTGTAGTAAGCCTTCCCCTCTTCCATGTAATTCAAAATTGTTTCATTGGATCCCCCAAATTCCATCAAGGGTGGCTGTTGTATTCATGCTATGATCTCTATCTCTGCTACCTTCAGCTTATGTTGTCTGGTTTACAGCTCAACATTTAGTATCCCAACTGAATTTGGATTATAGTTAATTGACTTTTGGTGACCCTGATAATATCCTGCTCTATTTTTAGTGATTTCTCCCAAGTAAAAAATAAATTTGTAGGCAGCAGCTTGGGGTTTATTCACATATTGCTTTCTGAGTAATATGACAAATAATAGGATGCAACACCATTAAATCATCTTATTTCAGCATCATTTCCCTCATTCGTACTGCCATCTTTTATTGAACCATTGTCTTTGTCCAGATTACTTGTTGCCATGTTTCAGCATCATGGGCTCAAACACCCTTTCTCTTATTTAAATATGACGAACCTCTGTCCTTCTATTATATGCAATTAACTAGATACTCTGTCAAAATTTTGCTTTTCCTAGCAATTTGTGATGTACAAGTTTTCTTCATTTTGCGTTAGTCATATAGATTATTTTATGCGGTATCTTAAACTCTCCCCACAATCATATCAGCATGATTATGCTCGTTAGAATATTTTTCCAATCTTTGAGGACTATTCCTCCCTTGGTTCTAGGTCACTGTAGACTTTCGAGCAGTATGAATTCCCATACTGGATTCTATATGCATTACTGTCCATTTTTTTTGCACAAGCTTTGATTATTCTGCTATAATTTTTACACGTAGGGGTGTAGTTTAGTTTGAGTGTGGTCATTGGGTGCAACTAAGACATTTTTGTCTTGTAGGTATATCTGTGGTATTATTTTCTTGTGAGAGCCAGTGTGGTTCATTGGGGGGGTAGAAGCCTATTGAAAGCTAATGTTAGTTGTTACTATTTGTTTATAAATTTGCTCTTATCTTTCACATTACTTAATCTAAGCAATATATGTTCATTGTACATAACTTCATGACAATCGATATGACGATGAATCATTCATACATGTATTTATATATAACCAGGAATATAAATGGGTTTTATATCCCTCCTAATTACTTGTTAGGCGCACCGATCCTTTTGATTTTACATTTATTTTGGCGAAAGAGGACGTTTTTAGTGCACCGGGAGCATGTGAGCCTCCCGTTCAATCGATGACACTTGATCAAAAATTTTATTCTCTCTTCCGAACAAATTTTACAGAAAATGCAAGTTTTTTATTGGCTTGAAATTTTTGTGCACCGGTGCACATTAAATATTTTCATTCTTTTGACTTAGTTTGTGATTGACTTTTCAATTATCTTAAAAAAACCAAATGGAATTTTGTATTGTACTTTTTTTTATCATTCCATAAAATTTATGATTGCCATAGTTTTTTATTTTTTATTTTTATTTTTATTTTTAAATTTTGAAGTCTGTCAATTTTCATGACTATTATTTCTCATGATGGTGGAGAAATATCGATTGTGAACTTACGCTACACCGTCCCCACTTCCCACTGAAGCAATTCAAGATCGAAAATAATAAATATCGCCATTGAGGTTTATGGTGGGAAGTTCCTTGTTTATAATATGTTTTGGAAAGTGGAAATCCAGCGTAGAAAGCAACTGGAATATGAGCGTATTGCCATCACGTGTCACATACGTCATTTGTACATTCACGCAACGTGATGGGGATGGAGCTACTCAATAAAAAAATGAAGCAATAATGTTATTATGAATTTTTTGATCAATTATTTATAACATTGAAGGACAATAATAAAAAAAATATTAGTTGTAGGTAATATATAAAGTAAGTATCAATTATTAATAGTTAGAAATGATGATGAATTATATTCCAGGTTGGAATCGGATTAATTAGGTAATTAGTATATCAATGAACAATTAAATTTTTTTTGAGTAATTTCTCTGAATTATGTAATTCTCCTCTCGTATTAGTATGTGACTTCATACTTATTTATAATTTAATAGAATGAAATGAATTCTGAATAAATATTTTATGCGGTGTATTATTTAGTATTTATTTATTTTTGAACAATCCATAGGAATGGCGAAACCGAAAATTATGACATCCAAATTTGTCGTTTTGCAATAACAGCGGTTTGTGATCCATTCTGATAAGCTTTGGCAGTTGCGAAAAACGACAGCCACCGCAATGGACATAGACACAGTGGATTGGAATGACATGATAGTGTTACCTTATGGTACTCCTTCAAAACATTATAAATTCAATTTTTCAATATTTAGTGTACATAAAAAATATATTATAAAATCAAATTAAATCAGTGGGATGTAATAAATAAATAAAATGGGATAAGAACAGAATCATTAGTCTTGAATGATATGATAGTCTTACATTATGTCACTTTTTCAAAACAATATAAGCTAAAGTCTTGAATGTTTAGCATACATATAAAATATAAGGTAAAGTCTTGAATGTTTAGCGTACATAGAAAAACAGTAATACACGAATAACTGATTATTAGAAAATAAAATAAAATAGAATAATAATTTCTAAATACAGTGAGTTGTAATAAACCAAATGGGATAAGAACAAAAGTAATCAATTTTTTTTTTTTAATAAAATTGAATGAAAAGGATGTTATTAGATTACCCCAGCAACAATTGTTAGAACGTAGAAGTGTAGAACACACTTTCATCGTACAGTCGCGAAAATCCTAAGAGAATTGACTGTCTGTCTGTCATCAATGGCTGCCATGAGACCAACACAGTATTTGCTACGAAGGGCATGCAGAGGAAGTAGGAGTTTTGGGGTTGCCCCCGAAATCAATGCTTCTTCCTCTTCCCAGAAAATCATTGACAAGGAAAATGAACATAGTGCCCACAAGTATGCTTCTCTTTCTCTTGGTTATGTTCTGTTGTGTTCTGTTGTTACACCTCAAAAGACAAGATTTTGGTTTCTGGGTTTATCTTATTTTCTCTTGACTCTTAACTTTTCGTGTTCAAATCTGATGATTTTCTCCCACTTTGATCGAGTTCAACCTTTGTATGTTGAATGAATGACGTGTTATTGAATCATCCATTGGTATGTTTGAATTGTACTTAGAAAAACAAAACATAAAACTAATCATGAGTGGTAAGCTGAAAGTGCCCTAAAAAATTTCACTTTTCTAAAATAAACATGCTGTTTATTCTGTTCTTTCATGATCTTAGCATCAAACAATCTAGTAGCAGTATGCCAATCCAGTAAAGATTTATGAATTTCTGTTTATCTTCAACTTTCATTATGCTCTTGAAGCACTTCCTTGTGGGTATTAAACTTTTAAAGTACATCTACATAGTACTTTATTTTAGGTACTTGCTTGAGGGTCTTGTCAAGCTTCAGTGCCTTTTCCTTTTATCCCCTTCATTTGTCTAGAATCTAGATAGTTAATGAGTTTAATTAATTGATTTAGGTCAAATATTGAAATGATCTTTCCTGTTTCAAATGCAGTTACCATCCACTTCCCATTGTATTTTCTCAAGCAAAGGGAACGTCTGTATGGGATCCAGAGGGAAACAAATATCTTGATTTTCTATCTGGTTACTCTGCAGTTAATCAGGTAAGATTGACTGGATCTTGGTATTTCCCAACTCCAAGGCTCTAGATCTGGAATTTTTCTTCATAATAGTGCCCAAATGAATAAAGATGATTATATACATTTTTCTGTTTCCTTTGTGGAGTGAGTTTATTGCTGTGGTCAATTCCCTTCTACCACTGCTACTACTTTTCCTTATTTTTTTGGGGGAAAAATTGGCATGGAATGATTTAAGTGCTTGTCATTTTGCCTCAGGGACATTGCCATCCCAAAATTCTTAAAGCATTACAAGAACAGGCAGAAAAGCTGACTGTGAGCTCTCGAGCCTTCTACAATGATCGCTTTCCACTCTTTGCTGAGTATCTGACAACCATGTTTGGTTATGATATGGTACTTCCTATGAATACTGGTGCTGAAGCTGTGGAAACAGCTATGAAATTAGCAAGAAAGTGGGGTTATGAAAAGAAAAGAATTCCCAAAGATGAGGTATAACTATGAGAATCATGCTAATAGTTGTAATATCTTGCATTTTTCAAGATTGTGGGGTCAAACTAAAATGTTTGCTTAATTTGGACTGTTGATATCAATTCAATGATCATCATTATTTGTTTTTACAAAATAGCTTGTACGCAAACACTTATAATTCTCATGTTCTGTTTACTGTAATGATTTACATGTTTTCATACGCATTTACTATGGTGAAGTTTGAGGCCATGTTGTAAGTTGGATAGCTTAAAATGGATAAACAAAGTGGCCCAGTACACAAAGCTCCCACCGTTATGAGGCTCTGGAGGTTTTGTTTTGGGGGGGAGGGGGATGTGGTTAGATTTATACTTCCTAAAATAGATAATATGGAAAATACAATTATCTAAGGATACGTTGAGTTGAAAACCAGTCTACTTGATGAATATAATTATCTATTATAATTTTTTTTCTTCTCTGTGGATAAATTGAGGCATCTGTCGATTTGAACTTTGACAACACTGCTACGGACACTTTTAAGTATGATTTGACGTATCTGAGGTGACCTAGTCTTAAGAAAGTTTTTGCTAACTTGATGTATCTGAGATGTATAATTCTTTATGACTAAACATGGTATTCTTCCCGTGCAAAGGGAAATGTAGGAAAATTATTCTCCCCAGATTATAGCATCCTCTTCTCTGTTCTACATATGCTTGCATATTTTGAGTTTTCCCTTGTGTTTACTTATTTATATTTCATGTATTTTTTTTTCTGTTGTTCAGTAATAATCTCAGGATTCTACTATTCAATTTTACAGCTTGAAAGTCGTTTTACTATATTTGAGAAAACAAGCATATGTCCTTTGTTGCTATTCTAGTTTCGTTATTCTTTATATGAGAATCAGATTCAATTATTTTATCATATGAATCTTTGTGCTCATGGACACTGGTTCCAGGCTATTATTGTCTCATGCTGTGGCTGCTTCAATGGCCGTACACTAGGTGTCATATCTATGAGCTGTGACAATGAAGCTACCCGTGGTTTTGGTCCTTTATGTCCTGGCCATCTTAAAGTTGATTTTGGTGATGCGGAAGCCCTTGAAAGAATTTTTAAAGGTCCTTAATTTTCCTGTACACTTTTTCTTTACTTGTTATCAGTATAATTTGCTTTAGCATGACATATCTTTAAGGTTTACCATTTTAATCTTCTCATGAACTGCAGAAAATGGACAAGGCATAGCTGGATTTATTTTTGAACCTATCCAAGGTGAAGCTGGGGTATGTTTTATGAGAATACTTATTTAATCAGCTTGGCAACACTCATTATGTTAATTGAATTGAGATACTAATGAAGTTGCTACGTACTCCTCTCTTTATTTTTCTCTTTCTCTTTCCAATTTGTTTTCTGAAATCAGAACATAGAGAAAAGAGCGATATGTATGTTTTCGATTAATTTTTTTTTCCATGCTGCATGGTTTAGTAAAATACTTAATGCATGTCTAGAATGGAAAACTGCTATAGCAATTTTGACATATTCATTCTCCATGGATAGTAAATCAGAAAAACATATCATAAATTCTTTATTTAGTGAACTTTTGTTTAATGAAAAGATAATCTACCAATGTTAAAAAGTTCCTTTTGCTTGATATATCACGTAGAACATGTCTGACAACTAAAGTTTTGAATAAATTTACTGTTTTTTATTTCCCCGTTATTCCTTGAGCTTGTGAAATACACTGTTTTCAAAATTTGTGTTCCTTCGTTGTATGTTATTGTACTAGCCAATTGAATTGACATTTTTATATATTGTGGGTGTTTGTGGTTTCTTCTTAGCAGTCCATCTTTCATTGTCTTTCTTTCCTAATCTAATTTAGTAATTTTGTCATTATACTCGTGTGTCAAACTGGTTTCATCATTTGTTCTATATAGTGTATAATGTTATGAAAAATATGAACTCCTTATTGCTTGTTCAAATTCTTTGGATTCTATTTTTTTTAGATGAAAAGCTTCTCTAGGGTACTTATATATCTCATTCTGTAGAAAGTCTCTGACATTCTTTACACATTTTTTATTACAATTTTACTTCTCAAAGTATATTGTCTCCCTTACATTCTTTTAATATATGATATTATTTGTTTAAAGGTAAAAATTCCTCCAGATGGCTATTTAAAAGCTGTTAGAGATCTTTGCTCCAAATATAATGTGTTGATGATAGCTGATGAAATACAAAGTGGGTTAGGAAGATCAGGGAAGATGCTGGCGTGTGACTGGGAAGAAGTTCGCCCAGATGTAGTGGTTAGAAATCTCCTTTACCTCTTATGTATTGTATATCTCTTGATTAATTCCCAACACTATAATATGAACATTATCCTTTGATCATATGATTATCAAAATACATGGGCAACTCTTATTGCAAATTTGATCATGCACCCTTTAATAATTTAGGTTCAGAGGTGTCTTTGTGACATAGCAATAATGAATTATGGACTTAGACTCGAAATTGAAACTATATGGCAAGAAAAAAGCATGTCTAATTAATTCCAATAGATACCATACTTCCTTTAACCATATGATGTCATTCTTTGGGATGCTTGTACTTTTTGTGTTTGACTAGTAAAACTGATATCATTGTTAGGAGCAGTTATTCTGTTGACTTAGTCGTTTATTGGATTGGAGCAGTATGGTCAGATAGTGGATAGAAGTAGTTAGTTTCCATTGTGTTAGTAGGGTAGTTACTAGCATGTTGGTAGTGGGCAGTTATCTGAGTTCCAACATTGATATTTAAATTAGAGGAATGTTATATTTATCACCATTTTAGGCTTACCATTCTTACTACTTGATTGGTTATCGTTGAATCAATTTGAAATCAACTTTTGAAAAAGAGAAAAATAAATAAATAACTGCCATTAATTTCAAATTGATCCAACGATAACCAAATACATGGTAAGCCTAAAATAGTGATAAGTATAACCGCCCCCTTTAAATTATTGTATTATTGAATGAAGAGATCAGAGAGAAGAATTATTTTGTACACTTGTGTGCTTGAGGCAAAGGTTTCTCAATAGAGCTCAATTTTTTTATCAAAAAAATTGTAGGTAACAATCGTGTTTGGATTAGTTTCTCTAAAAGTTTAATAAAAGAAAGTTACTTTATGGCGGAAAAGCTTTTGGATATAGAATGATTGCCAAAATCTTTTTAGTTTTTCCTCCTATTCTGTATCATAGATAATGTAGAAATTTCAACTTGCAAGTATGCAGTTCGATTGTATGCATTCAACTAACTACCTCTTCAAAGACATGACATCCAACGCTATTTTTTTTCCCTCCAAGAAAATGAGAAATAAGCGGTCTCTGCTGCAAACTCCCTTTGTTCTTTCTATTTTGTTACCTTTTTTTAGGTTCTATTTTGCCACCTACCCAAGGTGGTGTTGTTGATGTTGATGCTTTTAGGTTCTATTTCCTTTTTATGCCACCACACTCATAGTAACTTTTTTTTACATGTCTTTTTACTCAGATACTTGCAAAAGCATTGGGTGGAGGAATTCTACCAGTTAGTGCAGTGCTTGCAGACAAAGATGTGATGCTTTGTATAAAACCTGGACAGCATGGAAGGTTTCATTTTATTATAAATTTATAAATGGTCTTTATCATCTGCTCCCTTTATTTAGCATCTTCTTGCCAATAGTTGTCAAACATTTATGGTTCTGCGAGGCATCTGTTTCCATCCTTAACATGCCCTTGATTAGTCAGATGATGTGAAGAGACAGAACTCTGCCTTCTGTTGGAATCTGTAACTTATAAATATATATTTTGTTTTGTTTGGGTTATTATGTATGTAAGTTCCGTTCCAGTTGATATGAATACTAGGAACGGTTTCAAAAAGGTCTACTTTACTCAGTATGAAATAGATTTGTTAAAAACCTTGTAGTCATGGCTGGGGCATATCTTCAAGTGTTTAGGACATTTCATCAACTACTTGATGAATTATTTGCATGCTTGGGAAGCAAAGTGATGAATTTGATAGGATCATAGGACAAAATTAGAGTTCTCCATTTGCAGAAGCTATCAATTATATTTTGAGAACAGCTGGCTGAGATAATACGATTTTCCACATGGTAAATTCCCATAAGTCAAGCTTTGGACTTTGCTGATGGTACGTATGGACACTGGCTTGGTCATTCTGTATTATACTCATATGGGGCGAGAAGTTCTAATGGTAGGAAGCATCTGAAAATTAAGATAAATATTGTTGTTTGAATATTGAGATTATTATTGTGATAGTATTCTTATTATTTTGCATTTCAAAGTCATATTGTGGATTTAAACACCTATGTTCAAGGCAGCAACTGGAGCATCACTACCACATTAAATAAAGTACACTACTTTTAAACCCAATGCCCATTAAGGGAAGTATTTGATCCTTTAAGGGTGCTAAAATATTTTCCTAATCGGCAGCAGGTCTCCAGGTTTATGAACCAAATCAGACAGCCCTTGGTTTTTCTTATCAAACTGATGTCTTCATTTTGGATCTTGCAAATGTTACTCATTTTTAATTTTTCCATCCTTTGCGAATTTTACTTTCAGTTTTGCATTCATTTCTTTTGATGTAATTTGCCAATAATTTTTTTTAATTAAAGGAGGGAAGCTGAGGTTTTATAATGCTGAAGCTTTTCTTTCAATATTATTGTTCACAGTACATTTGGGGGAAATCCATTGGCCAGTGCAGTCGCAATTGCCTCACTAGACGTGATCAGAGATGAGCGACTTGTTGAGAGGTACCAATTGCATTGCAAAATCTTGTATTCTCAATTAATACAGACTTGACTGCAAGTCTTGACAAGTATGTTTTTTTCTTACTTGGTTCATTTCATTAGGATACGTCAGCCTGTGAAATAAAATCTCTAATACTAAGGCCTAGGTTCTGGTAGTTGAATAATTGTATGAAATATTATCTTATGTTCCTATCTTTAGGTAAATTTATTCATTATTTGTATTTTCAGTCTGTTAAAGTTGCCAAGTTTCAATAAATGCTTTGTTATAATTTGGTTCATTTATTCTCTCTACTGTGAATTTCTCTTGAGAAATTATTAATATATAAAGGCAAAATGATTTCTGCAGCTGCTGTACTTACAGCAATCAAGGATCCGCGTCCGGATCCTAGGATACGGCACCGGATCCTGAGTTTTTTTTTTTAAAAAGCTGTGGGGCCCACTTTTCTGTGTCAGCTGTAGATAACAGAAATGTTAAGCCCATATATAAAATATGCTTTTGATGATTTACATTGAACAGATCTGCCCAAATGGGAGAGGAGCTTATTCGTCAGCTGATTAAGATTCAGCAGCAATATCCCAATTATGTGAAGGAGGTACGAGGAAGAGGATTATTCATTGCAGTGGAGTTAAACAGCAAAAATTTGTCCCCTGTATCAGGCTATGATTTATGTGAAAAGCTTAAGGATAGAGGAGTCCTTGCCAAGCCAACACATGCTACAACTATCCGCTTTACTCCTCCACTTTGCGTGAGGTAAGCTAGTGATCAAAACGGTCGTATGCACACTGCTAGTGCCAGAAGATCAACCCAATACAGTATATCAAAAAATTTACTTTTATCAAGTACATAAAATTAACTGCAATGATAAAATTCTCACATCTGCAGCCAGTGTTCTCACTGTTTTTTCAGACTCTGTTGATGATGGTTTCTTTATGAACACTTAAAAGTCACTTAGATTTTGTTTGTTGAGTACTTAAAGTTCTGCCTCTTGGAAAGTATTAGCTTTATATAAGCATAATCTTAAAGGAATATTGCCTCTGGCAATTTTGTGTCATTATGTCCAAAAGGACTATAGGTTACTTGTACATTGTAAGTGTCTCTGATTGCTTGTTCTAGGATGTGACATAAACTAATATTTTGCAGTGTGGATGAGATCCAACAAGGTTCTAAGGCCCTGGCTGATGTTCTGGAAGTTGATGTACCAAAGATGCAGAAGATGAAGCCCAAAGATGCTTCTCCTGTTGCCTCTAGTGCATGTGATCGTTGTGGTCGAGTCTTTTATGGTTAACCAGATTAAGATCTATGAATTTTGTGTACCTTTTTAATTTTTCTTTGGAAAAAGATGTCAAACGAAGAATGTCTTGAATGGTTAGAAATTATAATGTCAATGGTTAGAAACTATGTCCATATTCAATATGATATTATTAAATAAAAATACCCGAGACAGTGAGAATAGATGGAATTACTATTTTGTAACCTAAATTTGGATTTAAAAATATATACGGGTTAGGACTATGAAACACCGATACTTCTAAAATTTTTTTTTCCATCATATTGGATATGTAACCCAGACGAATACGCTTTCGATACCCATTTTTCCATATCGGATGGGTCAACAAAATTATGAAGGTCAAATCTCCCATCTCCATTGTGCACCAGTAGCCAATCGCCGTGTTGCACCACCGTGACCCACTTAGAGCTCCTCCGCGTCGTTCGCAAACCAGAGGTCTTCGTGTGCCATCTTGGTAGTTCGCCGGTCTTCTTCGTCCTCCTGCTTCAACATATCACCACTGTTTTATTTTTTTATTTTCCTTCCCTAAAACTATTTTTATCTTCCTTACCCAAAACTAGCCATCGCTTGAGATGCTTGTAAGTTTTCAAGAAAATAAAGATTAAGTTTAGCGATGTGGATATTTTTTCTTAAAAGAAAGAGCCCAAGAAAGGTTTGGCCATGTAGTTTGTTTCGGTGGGCTTGGTACACTAAGCCCATTAATCTTGGGATGTTAGTTTTTTTTTTTTAAGTAACTATTTGTTGTGGTAAAATATCATAAAATTAAAAAGACAAGTAATTATTATAATAATATTAAATAAATAGTGCAAAAAATTAAAATAAACAAATACATGATGTGGATGTAAATAATGGGTGCTATTTAGATTTTCATATTTTATACTCATGTTTAGTCAATTTACAAATACCTAGATAATGTGAAATACATTCTTTATATTAAAAATATTATTTAATATATATATATATATATATATATATATATATATATATATATATATATATGAGATTGAATCTTTTGATATCGGTGTCAAATTTTGAAATTTGATATTAAATTCTAACCGTTGATTTTCGCCAATCAATAATTATTATTTATTGAAAATCAAACTTATTAATTACTATTAATTTTCAATAAACAATAACAGTAGATTAACGAAAATTAACGGATAGGATTTGGTGTGAAATGTTAAAATTTGACACCAATATTAAAACATCTTGCACCTATATACATATATATATATAAAGTTTTACTTGAAAATTTTGGTAGAGATAGAGAGGGTTAATCGTGTAGGTGTAGGATAAGATAAATGTACATACGAATGAGAAGTCACAGTACAATCCACAAGGACCAACTACGCCACTATGCAATCGAACAGCAAGCAAATTATGGAATGAATTGGGTGGCAGGTTGTTATCATGATCCATAAGACTATGAAGGCATATTGAATGGAATTTCAACGGAAACAAAAACTCTTTTGCTAGTTTCTGATTTTGTGTCTATCCTTAATGCGCCGTGCAATTTGCTGACGTTGCCATAAGGTTGTGGATAAATTTCTTCAGCTATTTTGTTATATATAATACCAAGGTCCTCTATCTCTATGGTAGGCGAGTTCAGGTTTTTATTGATAATGATAATGATGCTTTTATATGATTAGGGTGGGATATCAGTCTTTTATTACGTATCAACCTTGGTTCGTCCAGGCTCATGACAAAAAAGGATTACATGAGACAAATGCTCAAATTCTTAACTAACTCAATCCAAAATCCACCACCTTCTATCTTATTCTACCCTTCTCTCTTTGAAAAAAACATTCCTTGCACTTGCAAGAGTGGGTGCATCTAAGTGAGGGAATAATATAGGAAACAGAAAATGGTGAACAAGCCTCCACATGCTAATTTTTATGCCTGCAGAGGCAATGCATTCATGGACCAGTTGAATAAAATATAAATAATGAAATAAGCACGAAAATGTAAAAGGAAAAATTATGTTAAGCATGCATGCATGGATCATCGGGATAATCTAATAAGAGCCCGTTTGTTTCGCCTTCTTTAAAATACAGCTTTTATCTCTTCTTTATTTTAAAAGTGTTTTTTATTAAAGTTAAAGTTATTTATACTTTTATAAAAATATTTAGTTTTTGAAAAAAATATTTGGCTTCCGACAAACATCCAAACAAACTTAAAGTAAGAAGTGCTTCTTTTTCTTGAAAAAAAAACAACTTTTCCAGAAGAAAAAAAAGGTCATCCAAACGGGTCATAATTGTATTTGACATCATCACACTAGAATTTTGGAGCATTTCAGGTGGCAGTTGCTGCTTCAGGCTTTAAAACCTCTCTCAAAAAGACTAGAGACTCGCTATTTTTTTGGTTTTGTTCTGGTTTGTTGTGGAAGTGGAAGATAGATAACTGCAGGAGCTTCCTCCTTCAATACTAAGTCCAAGCCCATTTGAGGGGTTTCCTAAAAACCCTAACCCTGATTTCCACCTCCTGTATATATACTCATTAGTTGAGGGTGGAGGCTAGGTCAGATTTGAGAGAACAAATTTGAAAGGAAAATTATTTGATTGTTTGAGTAAAGCTTTATGCTTTGCATTTGAGAGATCTCTAGAGAGAGTTTGAGTGAAACATCTCTAGGGTAGTTTGATTATCACCGTTGTTGGAGAGGTTGAGTTAACCACCACATTGGTGTATTTGATTATTTGTAACCATTATTTTCATAGTGAATTTTTTGATCTGGACTAGGTCCCGTGGGTTTTTACTTCTTCATTCAAGAAGGTTTTCCCACGTTAAATCTGGTTGTGTTCTTCTTCTCTCTCTTGTTTTCGTTTTGATTTTTCCGCTGCGCTGCCCGACCTGGTGAAGTTCAGGCCGAGGTATTGCCGAGATCCGAGATCAGGATCTTGTTGATTGACTTCCGCACAAAAGGCCCCTGAGCCGAGCTTGAAGGAACCAAGTTTTCCCAACAGTGGTATCAGAGCCCGAGTTCGACGGGTTCTGAGGGAGACGAGATGGAGACCAGTGGCATAACTCATGATGGAGATATGTTCAAGTTGACCGCAGATAATTTCACATATTGGATACCGATGATGGAAGATCATCTCTACTGCAAAGATTTGCATGAGCCCATTATCCTTGATGAGAGACCGGCAGGCAAAACTGATAAGGAGTGGGAGATCCTGAGTCGGAAGGCGGTAGCCACGATCAGGAAATATATTGATAAAAACCTCTTTGAGCACGTGTCCGAATTCACGAACGCGTATGAGTTGTGGACGAAATTAGAGTCCATGATTCAGAAAAAGACTCCCAGGAACAAAGCACACCTGGTTCGCTGACTTGTTAAGCTTGAATACAAGGACGGCATGAGCATGATTGAACACCTGAACACCTACAAAGGTATTGTGAATCAGCTGTCAAAGGCTGATATGAAAATTGATGAAGAACTGCAGGCATTGATGCTGTTGAGCTCGCTGCCAGAAAGCTGGGATACTCTGGTGGTGACCCTGAATAACTCGACTCCGGATGGAAAATTGAAGATGGATGTCGTGACAGACAACCTTCTAGGCGAAGAATCCAGGAGAAAAGAACGAGGTACTTCGAGTACGTCTGAGGCCAAGGTTGCTGAGAACAAAGGGAAATCCGACTCCCGCGGTAGAAGCAAAAGCCGAGGTAGAGGTCGTGACAGACGAGACAAGTCCAGAGGTCGATCAAAGCCGAAATATGAGTTGAAGTGCTTTTACTGTGGAAAGACAGGCCATAAGAAGCCAGACTGCTGGACCCTGCAGAATGATGAGAAGAACGGCTCTGTGAAGCCGGATCAGATTATTCCCAAGAAGAGGGAAGACAAGAGCACCACTGCGGTGGCTGCCAACCCGGATGCCGAGATATTCCTCCTTGGCGAGGATAATTATTTGAATGTTGCATATGATGACTGCACCTGGATTGTTGACTCTGGTGCCTCCTTCCATGTTACTCCACACAAAGGTTTTTTCTCCTCTTATCGAGGTGGTGATTTTGGAGTCGTGAAGATGGGAAATCAAGTGACCAGCAAGATTGTTGGTGTCGGTGATGTGACTCTGACCACAGATGTCGGATGCCGACTTGTGTTGAAGGATGTGAGGCATGTACCTGACATGCGTTTGAACCTAATATCGGTAGGAAAACTTGATGATGCCGGGTTAGTGAACTACTTCGGTAGTGTTAGATGGAAGCTGGCCAAGGGAAACTTGGTCGTGGCCCGAGGTAAGAAGGAAGGCTCCTTGTACGTGATGTAAGGAAAGATCAATGGCGGAGAAGCCAATTCTGTTCGAGATGAACCTAGCTTGGAGCTATGGCACAAGCGCCTCGGCCACATGAGCGAGAAAGGGCTACAGATCCTGAACAAGAAAGGATTACTGACCGGGTTGAAAGGCCAAGCGTTGGAGAGTTGCACGCACTGCCTAGCTGGAAAGCAGCACCGGGTTTCTTTTGTGAGACCGGATCAACCAAGACGACGCAGGAATATTCTTGACCTCGTCCATACTGATGTTTGCTCCATGTCGGAGAAATCTCTTGGAGGAGCTCAGTACTTTGTTTCATTTATAGATGACCATTCCCGCAAAGTGTGGGTATATTTGTTGAAGTCTAAAGACCAAGTACTCCAATCCTTTAAAGAATTCCATGCGATGGTTGAAAAGAAGACTGGCAAGAAATTGAAGGTGGTCCGATCTGATAATGGTGGTGAGTATTGCGGCCCTTTTGATGCATACTGCAGAGCGGCCGAGATTCGACTTGAGAAGACGCCCCCCAAGACTCCACAGTTAAATGGACTGGCTGAGAGGATGAACAGAACAATTGAAGAGAAGGTACGAAGCATGATATCCAATGCCGGGTTATCAAAATCATTCTGGGGAGAAGCCGTCAAAACTGCTGTTGACTTGATCAACCTCTCACCATCACCACCACTTGAAGGAGAAATTCCAGAAGAAGTCTGGACAGGTCGGAAAGCGGCCTATAATCAATTGAAGGTGTTTGGATGCCGAGCTTTCGTGCATATCCCTAAAGATGAAAGGGCCAAACTTGATGCAAAGACTAAAGAATGCATTTATCTTGGTTCGCCGAGATGTGAGTTCGGGTTCCGACTTTGGGATCCAATCAATAAGAAGATCGTGAGAAGCCGAGATGTGATCTTTCATGAGCATGAGAACATTCATGACATCTCGAAGCCCAAAGTCCGAGTTACTGTCAGACGTGAAGAACCCATTCCTCCTATCCGAGCTGAAGCAGGGGGAGAAAATCAAGAGAATGAAGAAAATGATGATCAGCAACAAGCTGAAGATGACCAAGACATTGAGGTCCGAGTTGATGATGAGATCCGGGATGAGAATGATGAACCGGTTCTCAAGCTGAAGAACAACCGAGATATCCAACTCGAGAAAGAAGACCCTCTACAAGATACCCATCCGATGAATACACCGTTGTTGCTGAAGACGGTGAGCCTCAGAGTTATGAAGAGGCTGTGACGAGCTCAGAGAAAGAAGAATGGGAAAAGGCAATGCGAGACGAGATGAAGTCTCTGCACGAGAATCAGACTTATGAGCTGACCGAGTTGCCTAAAGGAAGACGAGCTTTGAAGAATAAATGGGTCTACAAGATTAAGAATGAAGAGAACGGGCAAAAGCCGAGATATAAAGCCTGGATTGTAGTGAAAGGCTGCAATCAGAAGAAAGGAGTTGATTTTGAGGAGATTTTTTTCTCCTGTGGTGAAAATGACCTCGGTCCGAACCGTGTTAGCCATGGCGGCTTCAATGGACCTCGAGGTAGAACAAATAGACGTGAAGACGGCATTTCTTCACGGTGATTTAGAAGAAGAAATATATATGGAGCAACCTGAAGGATTCCAAGCTCCAGACCAAGAAGACTTGGTATGTCAGTTGAAGAAGAGCCTCTATGGCTTGAAGCAAGTACCTCGGCAGTGGTACAAGAAGTTTGAATCATTCATGACTGATCATAAGTTTGAGAAGACTGAAGCCGACCACTGCGTATTTGTGAAGAGGTATGAGGCCAGAGATTTTTTGATTTTGTTGTTATATGTTGACGACATGCTTATTGTAGGGAAAAACAAATTGAGGATAGCCGCCCTGAAAAAGGCGTTGAGCTCGTCCTTCGCAATGAAGGACCTTGGCCCTGCAAAGCAGATTCTCGGAATAAAGATTATCCGAGATAGACAGAAGAAGCTACTGTGGCTGAGTCAAGAGAAATATATTGAGAAGATTCTGAAGAGATTCAGCATGGACAAAGCCAAAACAGTGAGCACCCCCCTAGCCGGACACATAAAGCTGAACCAGAAGCAATGTCCGAGATCTGATGAAGAGAAAGATGAGATGATGAAGGTCCCTTACCAATCCGCCGACGGAAGCTTGATGTATGCAATGGTTTGCACTAGACCCGACTTGGCGTATGCTGTTGGAATGGTAAGCCGATATTTGTCAAACCCCGGCAAAGAGCACTGGGAAGCAGTGAAGTGGATCTTCAAGTACCTCCGAGGTACAACCGACTTATGTCTCCGATTTGGGGAAGGCAAAGCCGAGTTGCAAGGCTACTCGGATTCTGATTTAGGGGGAGATTTCGACTAGAGGAAGTCGACGACGGGATACATGATGAGATTTGCCGGAGGAGCTGTCTCTTGGCAATCAAGACTTCAGAAATATGTTGCACTATCGACAACTGAGGCTGAGTACATTGCCGCTACTGAGGCAAGCAAAGAGATGCTGTGGATGAAGAAGTTCCTCATGGAACTCGACCATGATCAAGACAAGTACGAGCTGGGTTGTGACAATCAAAGCGCAATCCATCTTGCGAAGAATTCGACCTATCACTCCCGCACTAAGCATATTGATGTGAGGTATCACTGGATCCGGGATGTGGTGGAAGGTGGTGAGCTCGAACTCGTCAAGGTGCACACTGACCAAAATTGGTCCGACATGATGACAAAGCCGATTCCAGCAAGAAAATTTGAAGACTGCTGTGAAGGAGCCGGGTTGATGCTGAAGCCGACGCATTGAAGTCGGAGGGGGAGATTTGTTGAGCTTCCTCCTTCAATAATAAGCCCAAGCCCATTTGAGGGGTTTCCTAAAAACCCTAACCCTAATTTCCACCTCCTCTATATATACTCATTAGTTGAGGGTGGAGGCTAGGTCAGATTTGAGAGAACAAATTTGAAAGAAAAATTATTTGATTGTTTGAGTAAAGCTTTATGCTTTGCATTTGAGAGATCTCTAAAGAGAGTTTGAGTGAAACATCTCTAGGGTAGTTTGATTATCACCATTGTTGGAGAGGTTGAGTTAACCACCACATTGGTGTATTTGATTATTTGTAACCATTATTTTCATAGTGGATTTTTTGATCTGGACTAGGTCCCGTGGATTTTTACTTCTTCATTCAAGAAGGTTTTCCCACGTTAAATCTGGTTGTGTTCTTCTTCTCTCTCCTGTTTTCGTTTTGATTTTTCCGCTGCGCTGCCCGACCTGGTGAAGTTCAGGCCGAGGTATTGCCGAGATCCGAGATCAAGATCTTGTTGATTGACTTCCGCACAAAAGGCCCCTGAGCCGAGCTTGAGGGAACCGAGTTTTCCCAACACATTTCAGGTGGCAGTTGCTGCTTCAGGCTTTAAAACCTCTCTCAAAAAGACTAGAGACTCGCTATTTTTTTGGTTTTGTTCTGGTTTGTTGTGGAAGTGGAAGATAGATAACTGCAGGAGCTTCTCTTCTACCTATAGGCTGTGAAGCACAAAATTTCCATTAACGCATAAACTATTAAGTGAGAATGCAGCAACTAGTTGTACAGTCATTCACATAAACTTCTAAAGTTGAAGAATGCATGAAATATAATCTGCTACTTTTTTATGAAACCAAATCTTATATCAGTTAATTATAAATAATACCATACCTAAAAAATCAAATAACATACGTACTTACGGATAAAATGCACTATTTATTAGTGTTGACTTCATTAGCACTATTATAACAAGAAGGGCTAGTTATTTACTTTCGAAGTAAGGACTCTCAAGTCATTAATTTCTTTTCATTTCCTAGCATGCTTTCTTTCATGTAAATGCTGGAAGACCATGAAATTGTTCCACCCATTTGTAGGATCTGCTAAAATTTCTTGATGATATCTCCTTAACATCTTTGAGCAATGATATTGAACCTTTGAAAAGAAAAATTGCACATATCTCTAGGCTTTTCCTTTCTTTCCCTTTGCTAAGTTAAAGTATCTCTGATATGTCCTTTTAAAGTGGAAATTGCTTTGCTTATACTTTTGCAAAGCAGCAAATTTTGCGAGTGTAAACTAAAGGCTCCATGAATCCTACCTAGTAAAGTTATGGTACGACTATGCCTTCTTTTGTCTCCTTTAAGGAAAAGTCATTTCGTACATTTTCATAATATCTACCTCTTCCTTTCCCCACCGCAGTGGCTGAAACATCTGTAACCAAGAAACAGCTACTACTTACCTTCGGAGGTTGTAACTTGTAAGCACCTGCGTAAACCAAATTATGTAACCAATACGATAGATAACTTTTTGCTCACTGCTGGAGGAAGAATTTTCTTCCAACAAGGGCGCTTCTATCCCTAGGAATTTATGAATGTGTCATGGGACTAAAAAGTGGTATCATATCTTTACTGAGCATTCAATCAATACACTTTTAACCTTTTATATTTCCCTGTTGTCATAAACTTATAAATTCAACATATTTTATGTTTAACAATTCACCTAAATAATAAAAGAAAGAACGACCTGCTTAGAAATTATAAAAGGTTTTTAGCTTCTTTTAGTGGACTGATTCACAGCTCTTTTCTAAACATATGGTATAGACAATGTCAAAATAATTAATGCAGAAAGCAAAAGAATATCTTTAGTCAAGTATCTTTTACATTTCTCCAACACACAATGATCTTGCACGCATAGATCTATATATATATAAATCCAAACACTGAATGTTATTGAATGACTTCAAAATGATCAACAAGAAATACCAACACTTGATAACTACAGCATATCATCCGTTTCGGCCAAGGCAAGCTTTGGGACAAAGCTTGGTGCTAGCACTCTATCTTTTTAAGTCCTGCATCAAAGAATGACACGAAAAAAGAAGAAAAAAGAAGGAGAATCCATATTAATAACAGCATTGAGCAATTCCAAGATGCTTATGCCTGCAAATTGGAGGGAAGGGGGCAGAGAACTTAGAGCATAAATAAAGTAACAAAATATGGTGACTATAGAATAGCTTTTAGACATGAGGTTATTTAACTTTGACAGGTGCAAGGCAAGCACAATAATCTTTGGTAGTCATAGATCTACGGATAAGAGTTCAAATAGTACATAACATTATTTTCAGAGAATTGATATACTCTAAAGCTTAATGAATTATTCATGGAATGTGTAGTCAAACGAGAGAAGTTGTATAGTCATGAAAATCGATCTGTTATTCTTTTTTTCTTTTTCTTTTTTTGCAGACCTCTTCTCATGATTCATAATTTCGAAACGACTAATGTAACCACATTTCCTTGTTGGGCCTGTCAACCAATGGCCCCCTTACACGGGTCCATGACATCTTGTAACAACGTTGTACAATAATTTTATAATATCTTTAGAAAATTCATCAGAAGGCTATATCATTTGGGTTTAGTACCATTTGACCAGTTCTCTGAAAAAGTAAAACCCGTAGTCTTGTTCACATAAATATTGCACAAGGGCCACGTAAAGCTTTACTTCCGTTACTAAAAGCACATGCACGAGATCCATTAAGGAAACATATGACCAACATCAAAATAGACACTGCTAAAATAGGCAATAGGTTTACTTGTAAAAGGATATAATAGAGGAACAAAGTTTCATTTAACACAATATAACAAAGTTTAAAGATTAACATGAAAAGTTCATCCTCTTCCAATAAGATTATTCTAATACTTGCCATCAAGTTTAACTTCATTCTCAAGATTTATCATAAGAAAAGAATCAGTCACAGAAGCAAGCAGAAAAAAAAAAAAAAGTCACAACACAAAGGTAATAGCCTATAGCATCCCAAACTTGGTACCAAGAACACGTGTTTCTTGTTACTACCCTCAATTTTTCACTTTATAAGACTCTTCCCTCAGCATGGATTCTTTTAGAACACTAATGCAAGATGAACTGTCAGAGAAAAAATATATGTTTTCCTTGTCTTCTGAATCATGAATATATCAATTGATTCTGAACTTCCCACCATGACTTTGTTATTGTTTCTAGAATGAATCAGGTGCCAACAAGTAAAAATGGCAACAAGTATAAATACACAAAACTACAAGCTGTTTGATAATTATATACATATTTTAGCTTAAAAATTACTTAAGGTAGTTGTTCACTTCAAAAAAAAAGCACACATTTGAAAAAAAGCTTATCAATTTAAAAAGAGCTCTTCCTAAGAGCTTTTGACTTTTTTCTTTATTATAAAAAAAAGCTCTTTTTATTATAAGAGCTTTTGTAAAAATCTGTTTGGCCTGGTTTCTACTTATAAAGAGAAGAGAAGATAAAAAAAAGAACTTCCAAACAAGCACTAAGAGTGTTGGGGTATGTTCCTCCATTTAATATTTGATGACTAAGCATCACTTCATTTATGGGTGCATGGATTAAGGTCTGCTCAACCACCTCAATACCTGTTACCCACTTATCAATGATGAAGATTCTAAAAGGTGTAGGGTCTTCTCCTCACCGAAGATGAAAACCTTTTTATTAGGTTTGATAGATAGACAGAAAGACAGGGAGATAAGAGCAGTGAGCTTAGCTTGTGAGTGAGATCCTCGGAAGAGAAGTTTGAGTGTGAGATCTCTTTAGAGAAGAACTTTCTAACCATCATTGTTGGTGATGTTTGAGTGTACCTCTAGTGTGACTAGGAAAGTTCGAATCATTTTGTAATCCTACTAGTTCCTGGTAGAAGATTTTCTAAACTAGTGTCTCGTTGTTTTTACTTTTTTACATTAGAGAAGGTTTTTCACGTTAAAATTTTGCTATGTTTTCTCTCCATCTCTCATCTTTTGCATTTGTCCGATTTCTATCTCTTGCTTGTGATTGTTGATCGGTAAGACTGAATTACCGATCGGTATAACTGCTTCTGTCTGAATCATTTGTGGGATCGCGTCCCAACAATGTTGCCGAGCGGTAAGCTTGTATTGCCGATCGAGAAAATTACTTCTGCGTGTATTATTTGAGGGACCCCATCCCAACAAAGAAGAAGTTGGAGAAGTTAAATTGAGTTGAAGATTGAAATCTAATTGAATATGGATTGGATGTTTTCCTCTTTAAGCTATATATATCTTTATCATTATATCAACGTCATTCCTGCCGTCTAGGCCCAAGTTAAGGTCACTATAGCAACTTTTCCACCCTTAAAATTGAAATTAGATCATGCAAGTTTTAGAAAATTCTTTTCTTCTCAAAAATAATGCATGATATTTTTCGTTACTACCATTTTCTACATTTTGGTCTAGAACTCCCCAAAAATAGTAAATAAAAGGGAAAACTTTAGTAATATCCCTAATTAAGGTTTGCTTTAGAAATAAGAATACTCCTAAACTTTTTTTTAATTAGTAATGCGTAATGCCTCATAATAGAAACCACTCATATCCTTCCTTAACACTACTAGAAATGTTAATATTTTTATGTCTTTCTTCCATTATTACGCCTATTTAAACAATGCGTCTAAACATTCATAAACCAACACAAATGGATCAATGAAACATGATTTTCCGGTTTTCCCTTTCCTGTATGCAAGGTGAAAACCATGGGACACAAGTAAACTAGCAAAATTTAAATCGACTTTTTGTCTCTACCTATGAAGGATATCTTTCAAAGATAACTTATGCGGAGCACACTTAAGTTAGCAGGATGACATAGGTGGGAAGAATTGATCTTGAATTTTGATAGGCATTGAAGGTGGATGCCTGAAGTTAAATTAAGAGTCTCTCCGAATCCTCTAAGCATCTCGGTTATTTCATGATAATGCAAATAATAGGTATGAGGATACATTTTCATGACACAGAAAAAAGAAACAGAGTAAATATAATCTTAGCATTTAAATTGTCTTCAACAGCCGAATAACATGCCTCTAGTTTCTGATTTATATTGAAGTTAAGATGACGGAAAAAAAAAAGATTAATGAAACAAATAATAATGAAGATTCATTACTGATGACTGAATTTAGAGGTTCCTTGTGTCCAACAATGGAAGAAAGACATACATAAGGGTGTTAACAATGCTAACCGTGTAAAGGAGTTATGGGTTATTTTTACCATAGGGGCAGTACTAATTAAAAAAAAAAAAAACTTAATTCTAAAGCAAACCTTATAGGCGTTACTAAAGTTTTCCCCAAATAAATCATGTTTATAATTCACTAGTATAACTATTATTCATGCACACTAATCCGATAAGTTTACTTTATCAGCTGCTAAGATTTTTACCCCTATCATAATAATTTGGTATAAATTAGTCTATCCAAACACTCATAATAATGTGAACATTGTTGAGATATTCAAGTGTGATGAGTCTCACATTGGTTGGTAATGAGCTAAGTGAAAAGTATATAAGTGGAAGGGACCCATGAACCCATTGCCTTAAGGTTTTGGGTTGAGACATGGTGTCGGATCCACTTGCTACGGTTGGTGTAGCCTTAGCTCATTGGTGCTAGCGCCCGCCACGGGCTTCCCCGGGACCCGCTTGATATTGTAGTTTGAGGGAACGAATTTCCCAACAAACATGACGCCCAGGAGAACCATAAAGGATTAAGCACAATAATATATTTATTTTTTTAAAGTGAAAAGTGTTCAAACTAAAAAGTTTGAACAACGTTGTTAACCTGTTGTGTTTGAATAGAAGAAAAATGAGTGAGAAAATTTATGTGATAATTATAAATGAAGAGAACACTTTTTAAGATTTCATGTTTATATCTCCTTTACTATTCAGTTTCCACCCACTTCATCCAAAACAAGCGATAGATAGATTTGCAAAATTTTATTTCCCTCATTAAAAGCTTAGCATTAGATTCAAATTACTAGCGATACTGAATCTTAAAATAACACAACATATATATTTTCATTTTGCTTGAAGGAAATGGTCTAAACAAAATATATTTTTTTCACCATTTTCACAAAATTATAAAATCAAGAAATAATATGAAGATGAAGTAAATCATTTTTAATTATTAATAAAAATATATCAACTAAAAATGAAAAAAAAATCTTCCCCAAACTTTTGTTAGCTAAAATTCTGATATATTTTTCTTATAAATTTATAATGCAAATCAAATTATATTTTATATCATATATGCAGAGATAATAGAAAATGCATTTTTTAACTGACTGAATTGTATAAGAATGCATTCAGCAAATATAGGCTTTACATTTCAGAATGCTTAAGTAATAAAAACTTTTCTTATATAAATAAACAAAGGAAAAAATATTTGTCTTTTTGAAGGACAATCATTTTAGTCAAAATTAATATTTTTTTAATATTTAAATTAAAAAAAAATCTCTCACTTTCTCCCACCATGATTTCTATTTCTTTCACCATAAATCACAATAATTTTGACTAAAATTACATAATGTTATGTCCATTAAAAGGACAAACACCAATCCCATACATAAAATACTTTTATCTTTTTTAAATAAATAAATAAATCTTATTGAAGTATCTCAATCATATACCTTATGAGTTCTATTTGCTTATCTATATTTTTTCCTAAAAGTTAAATCACTCACTGATTTAACATTTCAAAATGTTCTATCGATGAGTGGTAAAAGGAATATTAGACCGATGGATGAAACAATTAAAAAAGAAAATAATAATAAGTGTATACAGTCTAAATTGTTTAAAATTATATCCCAACATTATGTATAACCTAGTAAATTATTAAACAGGAATTTTGTAAGTGTAAAAACCAAATATATAAATATAGAGTAGCGTTCCTTACAAAAAAAAAAAATAGTACAGATTTCATCATGTTACTTGCAATTAAAAAATTTTCGAGTCATGGATTTCTTTTTCTCTGTAACATCTATGCTCAAAATGTCTGCACATGTAACTTCTCCCGTAAATAGTCATTAGGATACTTTCCATCAGCCCATAAATTCAATCTTCTTAGTATGTCATAATAAAAAAAATGTATATAAAATATAAATCTCTCTTTCAAATTTTAATATCTTATTTTGAGAACCAGTATCTATCTATCTATGCGGGAGCTTGAAGAGCAAAGTTTGTGCCTACGTGCATGGACCTTTCAACAAATGAAAAGGTCCTCCCATGTGTGGTGATCCTAGCCTATTAACTAGGTATATGTTTTTCCTTGAAGAACCTGACAATGAGCCAATCAGGGTCATGTCATGTGGGTAAACAGCTCGGAGCTTGAGAGTGGGAAATGAATTGGGATTGTAAAGCCATTTAGACTTTCATTTTTGGCCCCAACCCAAAAGCAATTTAACATTAATTGCCCCCACTCAGTGACTTACACATGGTTTATGCCACACAAAAGCTTACACCTGACATATGCTATAGAGGAGGGAACCAATGAGAGCACCAACAAGGAGACAACCAGCCGATACCCTATTCACGGCAACCCATGCAGGAATCAACAAAAAGACAACAATTGAGATAGCAAATACATAAATTTATGCCCAATGGCCAACTTGTTTATGATTACCTAGAAACCAAACCGCTCATGGTATTGCACAATGCACACAACAACACATGGATTCAAAAAACAACATCGTTCAAACGAAGAAAACACATAATCAAATATTTAATTTCACTTCATGTCCACGTAGGTTTACCAAAAGCCAAATCATGCCATTGAGGAAGAAGAAAAACGGGCACAAAAAAAAAAAAAAACAAAATAAGCGTGCAACTCATCCAACATTAATAGCAAAACCAAACTAAAAACAAAGAAAAAAAGAAAAAGAAACAATTTTGAAAGGGAAAAGAGAAAAACATAAAAAGATCAAAGGTTGTTTTGTCTTACCAGGAAGAAAATGGACAGAAAAAGAAAAGTGGTGTTCGTGGGAACTCAGTTCTTGGCTTTCCCTTTCTGATCTGAATGTCGGCATCCGTCGCCATAGCAGAGCTGCAAGCGACTACCATCAAAAACAGATGAAAACTGATGTTGGTGATGATTCTCCATGGTAGGAGCAGCAGAAGATGGAGCAGCAGCTCCTCCACCAATGAAGAAAGGTACAGTGGATCCGTCTATAGGTGAAAACCTCTGCAGGTGATGATGAGGCAAAAGAGACGGTGAATTGGACTGAAGGGTCCCCCTATTGTAACCAGCAAGGCCCGAAGTTGAGATTGTGAAGTTGAGATTGTAATCGTTCCCGCTGGGCTGAGAAGAAGTAACCACAGCTGGCATGAGATGATCTGGAATGAATGAGAAATGCTGCAGCTGATCTGATGAGTGGTTTTCACCACTTACATTGAATGGTGAAACTGACATTGCATCAGGAAGGGAATGTCCCAATTGGATTTGTGATACTGAGAACCCAGAAGAAGAAGATGATGATTGATGATTATGATGTTGATGTGTTCTTGAAGAGGAAGGCCCCAGAAGCCCTGAGGTAAAATAGTCCATTGGTGCTGAACACCATTGCTGTCTAGCTGCTTTGTTGAACAGATTAGGCTCATCAGTACCACCACCACCACCATGATTATTCTGATGAATTGATCCTCTAGGACTGCTTGTGGTGGGAACTGCATTGCTGATCCCACCTGTGAGTAGCTCAGTGAAAGAAGCTGTTTGAGAAATGGGGTTCACATTGTGGTTATGGTTATGGTTATGGTTATGGTGGTGATGAGCAATGTGATGAGATTCATTCTCCTTCTCCTTCTCTTTTTCCTTGGCTGCTCTTTCCCTTGCCCTCTCTCGTGCCTTGACACGGTTCACACGAATGTCAGACCTGGCGAGGGACAAGCCAGAGCCTTTGCTTGTCTCTGAAGTGCTGCTACAAGCAGATTTGGACAAAGAAAGGTTCTGGCTTTGGTTCTGATGATAGTTGGTTTCACCATCTAACTCTGCATCAGCTGAATCAAAGCCTTGTTCGGTTCCCACACTTGCTCTTTTCTCATCGCTCGGTTGCTTTGGGGTATCAGGGAATGTGTTGTTCAAGGAAGGTAGCTCTGAAATGGCATCTGCAGCTGATTTGATTAGCCACTCCACAGCTTTACTGGGTTGGTCATAACCCAAGCGATCTTGAAGATCATAGAACTGAATAGCTGTGGTCACAGAGAGTCTAACCCGTCGGTCTCTTAAACCCTTTGAAGTCATGACCTTGCTGTGCCTATCTTTCCCACCAGATGCTCGAGACACCCTTATGATTCTTGAAGAGTGGTGCCAACTATTGAACCTGTTTGTGCAGCCATCAATGCCTCCTCCTCCTCCTCCTCCTCCACCTCTTCTTCTGAGGTCTCCATCTTCTCCCTCATGATGATCTGGGTATTGCTCACTCCCTCCTCTAGGACCTATCTTGTTAGACTCATTTCCAACTCTTGGGAATTTACACGCCTGTGCTTGAATCTCATCCTCCTCCATACCACAATCATGCCTTTGCAAGAACAGAAGCTGATCAAGCTAGAAAGAAACCCACTTTTCCTTTCTCTCTCTCTGTCTCTCTCTTTCTTTTTTGGCTCTAGTGTCCTTACACTTGTTCAGAGGTAGAGAGAGAGTGAGAGTGCAGGTGTGGGGTTGGCAATGTCCTTTGCATTGATGACGATAATTCAGAGACTGCTTTGGCTGTGTAGTGATAAAAAGGCCTTTTTTTACGCTCTGATATATCACGGTCCAAGTCAGGAGGCCCTTGTTAAGCTTTTTACAGTTGCAGAACGCTTTCAAAAGACTCAAGTAGGTAGGTTCCTGCAAAACCCAAAAACAAAACCACACCCAGTTACCACCAAAATTGTCTTTTTATCATTCAAACTAAAAAATAAACAAAACAAAACAAAATAAAATTTAATAAATTAAAAAAACAAAAATAAAAAAGCATCATATAACTATGTACAGATTCTTAGAATCAGTACTTACTTAGTATACAGAAGATAAGATCTGGCTGTGTTTAGCATATAACTGATAGCACCTTAAAAACCTATGTATTTTGTGAAAAAATCACAGCTTCAAGAAAAAGTAGACAAGTGCTTGAAGTTGGAAACCCTTACATATGTATGTATGTACCTTCGATCTGAGCCTTTCTGCTTTGTTTTAAAGCTAAAGCAGCAAAATTTCCAGACGGGTCTCCGATCTGAGCCAAACCCTTTTTAGCTTCTGCTAGTAGTATTTATAGCTTTTCCCTGGCCTCAAAAATAGCATACATTATGCAAATCTCATTAGAAGCCATTATGGTTAAGTTTGCAAATTATCACATTTCTTTAATAAAATTAAACCACTATTTCTGAAATGCTCAAATTAATAATCTTAAATAAAATGATTTAAAAAAGGCTTGAGACTCATTACTTTGAACAATGTTGGGTCCGATTCTGTGACAGGTGTTAATCTCTCAATCAAAGACAAAAAAGAAAGAAAATAAACCCAGTTGATTACACAATTGCAGTGTCTCCGTCCCACGTAGCTCACAGATCTGTGTACCTGCAGTTCCATTATTGAAACAAAACCAAAAAATAAAAATAAAAATCGGAACCTGGAAATTTTAGCTCTTTTTGTCAACAAAGAAAGATCTATCAAAATCAAATTTACATGGATGAGAAGAAAAAAGGAATAGCAACAAATATCAAAGAAGAGATCAAAGTGGTTTCATATGGTAGAGAAAGAGAGAGTTAAATACAAATTATTATGAGATGAGACCTTCTGCAGCCTGATTTCATGAATTGTTGAATTTCTTAAATGGTCTTTCCTTGTGACTCAAGAGTACCTAGAAATGCAAAAGAGGACAAAAACAAAAACAAAGTTCAGTTCTTTTTTCTTCCTCTCTAAAACTCTCAACCTTAAGTCCTAGATAAGGGTGACAAGACCTCAAATATACACTACCAAAGCATGCTACCATTTTTATCTTTTTTAGCTGAATTTGGAGGTTTTTTTTTTTACACTTACAGTTGTTTTTCTCTTTCTGCATATGAAAACAGTCAGTTGTGGTCAGAGAGAAAAGAAAGAGGGGCACAAGAGTGTTCTAGGGTTGGTTGTTTGGTGGGTGAGAAACAGAAAGAAAGTGAAAGGAAAAACATATGGGAATTGCGTGATTTGTAGAGAGAAATAGTGTGCTTGTGTATGTGTGTGAGAAAGGTAGACACATAGATAAAAAGAAGAAAAACACGAAGCTCAACTCAAAGTGCTTGAAGCTAAGCTTAAAATGAAAGAAGAAGAAGAAGAAGGAGATGGGTTGTTGTTGTTGTTGTTATGTTCCCCATTCGAACAATAACCGGTCATATCGGAAAAGGCCAGACACGGCGCGGTTCCACAGTTTATGTAATCTCCACTCCTTCACATTTGTCCCTCATTTCCCTTATATTTACTCGGTTACCTTATCCTATTAATTTATGTTAATAATCCCATTTAACATATATTATATGGGAAAATAGTTTAAGGTGTAAGTTATATATCATTCGAGAGTAGAGATAAAATCATCTCTAGTAAATTTAAAATGACATTATTTAGAGATTGTAAGATTAAAAAATTATAATTATAAAGACTAATATAATCCTCTAATATAACCCTGCAATAAATTAGAATTACAAAAACACAATGATTTTCGTCACAAAACGATGTCATTTTGTGCTTACCGAAGATAACTTATAACTATATATTTCAGGAAATATATAATTATAATATTAATATTGTACTTTTTTCTCTATTCAAAAGCTGTCGCTTGATGTGAAAAGTAAAAAAAATATAACTTTAATATTATAATTAGGGAGGGGTTATATTGACAAACTTTTTTTCTCACAAACTCACAAACTAATCTAAGTCTGATTAAGTGTATGACTGATTAGACTTAGTGTAGTTTGTAAGTTTGTAAAAAAAAAAATTCTAAATATAACTTTCCTCTTATAATTATTTACTACTCGGAATACATAATTATAATGGGCTAAAAGAACATAACTTAAGTCCTTTAAAAGGAGGAAATGTTTTCTCATATAATATATGAGATTAATATTTTTTATATTACAATAGATAATTTTATCTCCTATATATATATAAAAGTCCTATACATATAAAAGTATGTAGGGTTCATTTTATTTTATTTTCTTCTCTTCACATGATGGTCACATGGGTCTTATGTACTTTTATGTATATAAGATATATCTCCTATAATATGTGTTGAGATATATAGTCTCACATTGATTGTATGTGCAACTAATGTAGAGTTTATAAGGTCTTGGGCACTCTCACCCTTTGAGCTAGTTTTTGGGGTGGTGTATCCCAAGGTTATTTATATGGTATCAGAGCCTCGTGTCTCGGGTTCGATCCTCGCCGCCTCCCACTTTCTTTTGTGGAATTTCTTAGCACAGGTAGACTGGGCCTGTTGCATCATCCACTCTTCAAGCCCGATGGGCTCTCGCGTGAGGGGGCGTGTTGAGATATATAGTCCCACATTGGTTGTATGAGCAACTAATGTGGAATTTATAATGTCTTGGGTACTCCCACCCTTTGAGCTAGCTTTTGGGGTGGTGTATCCCAAGTTTCTTTACATGGGCACTCTCATCCTTTGAGCTAGCATTTGGGGTGGTGTATCCCAAGTATATATTTTATCAAGTATAAACTTATTCCAATAGCGCCCAAAATTCAGTCTGAAATGGAATTTTTTTTTGTTTGTTTATATGAAACCAGGGAAAGATTCGTTTACAATTTTTTTTTGAATATTTTTACAAATTACACTATCTTCTCACGGAAGAACATAGTGTAATCAGTATTCTCCCAAAAGAAAATAGTGTAATTTGTAAAAAAAAAATTGTAAATATAATCTGCCCCTATGAAACTACGGCAAGCTTTAGTTCTGATTTGTAATATGTTTTAACCTTTCAATAGAACAAGTTTCCCTCGTTAAACTTGTTTTAAGTAAACAAAAAATAAATAATAAATTATATACTTTATTCTGATGTGGATTATGGAATTGTGTGTTTGTTTAGAGGGTGTTTGGTAGATAAAAATTTTTGTGTCCGAGAATCATGATTATTAGAAATATATTAGAAAAGTAAATCTTTCGAGAACATGACTAAAAAACTATTTGATAGATCAAAATATTATAGAGAATATTAGCTCAAGTTTCTTAATTATATGTTTGATTCATTGTCAAATATTATCAAGAATGTAGGGTGGCGCTAGTGACACCCTCACTGTGTTATTGACGCGGGAAGAAAAGCAAGCCTGAGAATGTTGGCGCTAGTGACATGGAAAAGAATCTTGCTTGGCACTAGTAACGTGGAGGCCAAAATATTTTTTCACCTCTCAAAAATTTAAAAATACCACCCCAACGTTGGTATTTTTAGATGACATTTTGTCTTAAAAAATGTTTACAAATCAAAATTACGAGAAAATCATATTCTTAAAAAAAATTACAATTTTTATAAAAAATATGAATAAACAGAATTCCTAAAATTACTTTTTTGGAAATCTAAAAGAAATTCTTCAACCAAACGCTTACTTAAATATAATTTTACGAGTGATCTTTCTGGGATAAGAGTACCTTCATAAGTAATCGCTTTGGCATACGAGTTACGACTTTTCTAAACTTTAGAATGGGAGAATATCTCCCTCGCTTTAAAAAAATATGCTATGTTATTATTATAACGAACTCATCAATAGAACAAAATTAATATTGATCACCCTTGTAATCAAACTCAAACTGTAAGAGAAATTTAAAAATTAAATTAATTATGGGACTTTTATTATTATTCTTTTTTAGAAAATATAAAAATCATGTTATAGTCAAGAAAATATGATCATGTTATAGATTATAACTATGTACTACGGATAATACATAGCTATAATATTAAAATTATTTTTTCTTTTCTTCACGTCACTCGACAACCTTGCGAGGAGAGAATTTTTTTTTAATATTATAACTATTATTTACCCTTAATATATAATTATATTATTTGACAAGATCAAATTTCTGTCTGTAACATGACGGAAACCTCTTATTTTTTAAGTGGATAGCGGCTCTTTTTTCGTGTTTCCAAATACTTTTAATCTATTTTTCATTTCGCAATTTGATATAATATATAAATTGACTATTACCGTCCTCCCAAATGATTAGTTAAAATTAATAGACTGATAATTAGCTTACCAAAAAAAATAATTAATAGACTGATATTAACTGCAGTTATAGAAAACTTAGTGAGAGCATGAGAATTATAGTTCTATAAATATAGCCTTCATTAAGAAAAAAGATCGAAGAACTTAGAATTTAAAAAGGTAGTAATCCCATTTTAATGAAATGGATGAAGTAATGTAAGAAAATTGGTGGGCAATAGCGTATGAAAAGGTAAACATTCCATTGACACGATGTTTTGGTACAAGGTTACATGCAAAGGGAAGCCTATATACACTTCAAAGTCAATAAGATTTTTTAATCATTTGTTATAAAGTAGTTGTTTCACCAAGACCAACAATACAATATCCATTGACCGTTGTGTTATCTAGGTTCCAAAATCGTAAGTCTATCGTAACAAATGAGTCTTCTCTCACTTTTCTTTTGAAGATTGATGTCACTTATATAATTCATATGCACGATTATTTCCGTATATTGCCACCCATTCTTTCTGTGGAGGTGTTTAGGTTATTATAAAGTTTTCATGTTACATTTTATGGTCCCCCATACTCTTAATTTGGTCCCTTGTATTTGCGGCTTTCCGTGTGTATATGAGAGAATTTTTTGAAAGATGACATCCTACCATAAGGCGATTTCACAACCATTAATATCCATCTTACTATCTTAGCTTAAACTATGAGCTAAACTGCTAGATAATCATCCTATCACCGTCCTTCAGCAAATAGGTTATAGAGTACACGATGTGCAACCGGCAAGCAGCCAAAGTGTAATTGAATTATGCAACAGCTCCAGGGGGTTTGAGCATAAACCTTTAATTTCTTAGCCCCACATCATAAAGCTGTAATTTTCGCACTATAGTGTAGGGTGCTTTAACTAGATGATTTGATTATTTAGATAAAAATATCTTCAGTTCTTCCAGCAAGGTCAATGCATAGATTTAATTTGTAAATGGTCTACATTAAGTCATGAACCATCTCATTAATTAAGAATTTGGTTCCTTACAATAAATTAAGGGGATATAATTTCTCATTTTTGTCTCATGCACATACAAAAAATTGGGTGTGATCCATTAAGGATAAAAGAAAAAAAAACAATAAGTGAATCCAACCAATGTTTTTGTGTGTGGATGAGATAATTTTATCTCAAATAACATGAAAAAATATATTCTCTTAAATTAAACCTTGCTTAAAGACCTAGGTCTAGAAATTAGCACTTAATATTAAAAGTCAAGATTTTGTACGTACTATTCCTCCCCTTCATTTTCCCTGTCGTTTAATTATAAGCAAAAATAGTTATATTTTTCTCAATTCTTTTCATTGAGATATTTAAAATAGAATTATTTTTACATTAATATTTTCTTTTATTTATTAATGTTAAAAAAATTTAAAACTAATTATTTTTGCATTATTTTTCTATTGAAAAAGTAGAACAATTTTTTTAACCGAAATAAATGGAGGGAGTATATACCCAACTATGATGCACCGAAACTGACATGGGACATGACACGACACGACACGACACTGTTGAGATATTCAAGTGTGATGAATCTCACATTGGTTGGTAATGAGCTAAGTGAAGAGTATATAAGTGAAAGGACCCATGAACCCAATGCCTTAAGGTTTTGGGTTGAGACATGGTGTCGGATCCACTTGCTACGGTTGGTGTAGCCTTAGCTCATTGGTGGTGGCCCCCGCCACGGACTTCCCCTGGACCCGCTTGACATTGGAGTTTGAGGGAACAAATTTCCCTACAGTGGTATCAGAGCCGGATTGGGCTCGAGCTAGCCTAGTGATTGGCTAGGAGGCGGGTCGAGTACTTTGCGCTTCGGGTACTCAGTTGAGGGGGAGTATACCAATGGTGAGTTTCACACTTGAGGGGGAGATTGTTGAGATATTCAAGTGTGATGAGTCCCACATTGGTTGGTAATGAGCTAAGTGAAGAGTATATAAGTGAAAGGACCCATGAACCCAATGCCTTAAGGTTTTGGGTTGAGACATGGTGTCGGATCCACTTCCTACGGTTGGTGTAGCCTTAGCTTATTGGTGGTGGCCCCCGCCACGGGCTTCCCCTGGACCCGCTTGACATTGGAGTTTGAGGGAACCGATTTCCCAACAGACACGACACGCCGACACGTTAATTTTAAAAAAATCATATTTCTACACGTTGGGACA